CTCTCCACCTGCACTGGGCACACGGGCACATCAATAACACAGAGACAGCTTAATACGCCAAACCATATCATTCTCCCCATGACCCTAGAAGATCCTCACCACCTAAAGTTCAGCACCATCTGTTACCACATTAAACCCCTACCAAGACCCTGAACCCTTAACACAGTACTTATAAGTGATGATCGCACTGGAAAACCTCACACAACTACAAGAGCCCACATCCTCATCCAGTACTTCTTCTGAAATGAAGGCTATTTATAGAGAGTTTGTCCCCCTTTGCTGCAGTAACAGCCTCTACTCTTCTGGGAAGGCTTTACAGTTGGAACAGATGTTGGAACATTGCTGTGAGGATTTGACTTAGTGTTAGTGAGGTCAGGTACTGACGTTCGATGGTCAGTTCTGGATCACTCCAATTCATGCCAGTGGTATTGGATTAAGCTCCATCACTCCAGAGAACACAGTTCCACTGCTTCACCAGCCCAATGCTGGGGGTTTTTATACCCCTATAGTCCATGCTTGGCGTTAGAGTCCGTAGGCTCAAGCGCGGCTGCTCCACAGCGTCCCATTCTATTAATCCATGCTTTTTTGTGGAGATTACACAAGCTATGTGCGCGCAAGTGAACGGCTGTGTCAGAAATAGGTGCACCTTAAAGTAGCTTGAATACGTTTGGAAACATAGCGTAGCTGATGATGTCATTCCATACTGACATGAAGCCACTTGGCCTTGGTTTTCCTTCCCTGTGCTGAAAAATGAACAATTGTCTATGGATGTAATATAAACATATTCCCAAAAATGCAGATATAATGAAAGTGCCTCATTTTCCTACAAAAACATCCAATTCAAAGGTTGTGGCAAGACCTTTCATGTTTACACATTCATTCATGTTTATGTATTCATGGAGAAGTTTTATTTCATTGCTTTAAAACTTACATCGTTAGCTTGTGCATGTAATGTTACTTAAAAAATCCTTGGACAAAGAAGCTAGCTAAGTTAGCAAGTAAATCTCCTCTGGAAATATTATCTGGGTATAACTTTATATGGGTATATGGGAAAAAATATATGGACATATATTTTTATATATTTGCAATACATTTCAAACACATTGCAGTTCATGCCGAAATACATTCCAAACACTAAAGTGTATTTGAGAATATCGCTGTTGTCAGAGGGAAACCTCGTATCTCCAAAATGGTAACTTTACAGGAGAAGGAAAAAACATACTTTACTTTTAATGTAAGTCAATGGAACCAGACATTTTGTCCAAGTAATTTTGGGCCGTTTCCTCTGGTCCTATGATCATAAAATTTACACACAATGTAAAGAGCAACAGGTATTTTCTAATTATGTCAAAAACTGAAAAACGGAAAAAATGGAGATACAAGATTTTCTTCCAACAGCAGCGATTTATTGCTATATATATTTATTGTGATATATTGCTATATAAATGTTGCAGGTATTAATATGTTGTGAAAATGCAGTTATGATTTGATATCTTGGTTATTTGCAATACATTGTTTGTGGGTGTATGTACTGTATACATACATGGTTAATGCAAAGTATAATGCAGAACACAGAAGTCAGTACTGTTCATTCAGTTCATGTATGTTTAGTTATACCTGTAATGTTTGTTAAAAGTGCATACAATTGAAAAAAAAAGTAATGAACAAATGCATTGTAAAAATCGATTCAACAAATACATTTTTGGTCACTTTCATACCTTGCAATGAATTTTTCCATTTGGGTGTGCAGTACATAGAGGACTGTGAATGACCTCTGGCCTTCTTTAGCTCAGCCTAAAGCCGAATAAATGATTATAGAGAGAAGTACTGAGTCATAATCTGCATTTTTGGTTTTTAAATTTTGAAGATTGCATTTTTAGAATGGCCCCAGGGCGATAAGAACAAACAGTGGATCACAGTAATGGTGGCTGAAGGCAGAGGAGGCTGTTTGTTGGCTGTTGTTTGTGTAATTGTCAGTATATATGTGGCCCAGTGCAGCAATGCCTTCTGTGTGATTAACAAAGCGGTGGATTGCAGGATCATTATGAGCCATTCAGACACAGCAGGTGAGTTTAGAGTGGAGACAGAGTGATCAATCTAATGATGCAGCTTCCACACACACACACACACACACACACACACAGCCTGAGAGTGCACATTAAACACACACCAACGCAGTTCACAGAGTTCACACTGATAACACTCTCACTGTATATACTGTGCATTCTTACATACTCTCTCAGGTACAAAACTGAAGCACTTCTGTTCTCCATCACTTTTTAAGTTTGCACTGGAGATATGAGGCTAATAAAGTTAACAAGTAACAAAAGCTTAGCCACCAATTATCATTGTGCTAACTGCATGCTTAAATCATCACACTTACCTGAAAGTGTCGAGTTATTAGGTAATCTCTTGCATAGATGGTTTTTGACACTGTAGCAAATTTGAGATTACTTAACCCTCAGAATCCAAAGCCTGCAATTTGCAGGCAAAGATGTAGGTAACTTCTATCCTTCATAACTTCAGAACTCTGTTTTTGGCCTTCATATTTCAACAAACGGTTAGCAACATGATTCACATTGCCTGCCCTCACAATCCAGAGTGATTTCATCCTCCTTTGACTATCCATCAGTCAGCAATCCAGCTCCAAAATCACACACAACCTCGCTACTGTTATATTACATCTCTGCCTTTAGCCTTCATATTATAAACAAAGGGTTAATAATAGTGGCATGATTCACACATCAGATCACTCAGAGGAACCAGCCATCACTAGCCAGAGTGAGAGAAACAAGCTCTAACATCCTACAACCCAGAAATACAGCAGCAACACACAGCCAGCGCACTGTAAAGCCTGCTATTAGCTCTCTGCTTTAGCCTGGCAACAAAAGGGTTTGAGGTGACGGTCTCGTCCACATGAAAAATTGAATGACCACGTTGTGTTGTAAACTTGCCAACTCACATCCTTCAGCGTCACCTCAGAAGTCTCTAGAGTGAGATTTCCTGGTTTGAAGACTAGGAAAACAGTCCTTCTGACGATGTATCTTGAAGGTGGAATGAAATTCTAAAAGACTACAAGCTGGTAAATGCTTATTAGCAGCGTTAGCCTCGTATCTCGTATCAGCGTATAACTAAAGAAGCAAACTTCAGACACCAAACGTCTTGGATGATCAACTACATTTGGGATAAGGGGTAAATTAATACATACTTTTGTCTATAAACATTGATACATACAAAATTCAGGCTTCAGGATGGCTGCTACTGTTTTTAGCTATATAGCATACTTTTGTCCATTTCAGTACAATATTGTGCAAAAGGTCTGAGACTCTTCATTCATTAATTTTCCAGGCAAGTCATTCTGTTTTCAGGGTCAGAAACCCCCCAGAAATGTATCTAACAGAATATTACATAAACAACTAAATATGATTGGATTTTTTTCAGTATTTATTGTGTCTGCTCTTTATCTTCATTACTTCCATTCTTTTCAGGAGACTCACTTTCAGTTCCTCAAAGATTCTGCAGACACACCTCCAAAGTTCAGTCTTAGAAGTTGGTTGATTATTTTTTGAAGTAATCAAACACATTCAGTGATGTTGAAGTCTGGACTCTGGGGTGGTCAGTCCATTGTTCAGCTTCTTTGTTTGATGTGTCTGTCTCCTTTTCTCAGTGAGTCTTCTTGACAGATACACATCCTTTCAGACCCATAGTGTTGAGTTGTCTTCTCACAGTGGAAGGATGGACAGAAACACCTGTGGATGTTTTCAGATCTGGAGCAGCTTGATTTTCTCCTCTCTCTCACAGATGAAAGCTTTAAGTGCTGTTTATCTGATGGGGGCAGTTTTGGTGTCTACCAGGCCTTCCAGGTGGTTGTTAGGATCTCATTTTCTGTAGCTGTTAAACATTTTTTGAACTCCAGTTTTAGAAACTCCTGTTTTTTTCTTTGACTTTCTCCTTCCTTATGCAAGTGCAATCTTATCTCCTCAAACATATTTCCTGAGAAATGAATAACTTGTATTTAATGGCTGTTTTGACTGGACATTAAATAAATGAAAGGTGGTCTGATTTTCGTACACATTTGGAATAAGGGGAATATTTGTAGGTTTGATTTTTCTCCACAGTGTTCCTTTAACTACAATAAAACACCTTATCTCTATTACGCAGACTCAGGCACACACTTATAGGAAGTTTTTAACACAAGGATGAAAGCACAAATATTAAAATTGGCTTAAATCAAAAGCATGAAGGGCTCATTAAACCTTAGGCACATGCAGAGAAGTGGCTTGTTCATCAGGAGAACAGTGGAGTCACTTTTAAGCCTCACCTGTTCAAAAAGGACAAAAGCTTTAGATCAGGACTCTTAGGTATTCTATCTACACTCTACTCATGTAACTGCATTCATTACTCAGAGGCTGGGCTACACATGAATAGTCATCTGTAGCTGACTGAAACAGAGGCCTTATGATGAGTGGCAATTAGTTTCAATAACTCATTTATATGGAGAGGCATTTTACTTCTCTTTCCATATCATAATTCTCATGGAAACATTAATATTAGTGTTTTCTGCTTTATAGAAACATTTAAAATCCCAGAAAACAATAATTAAAGTGCTCATCATCATTTAAATAATTTGATGTATGTAAACATTGTTAGTTTTCTTCTCTTTACTCTCCATGAAGTCCATGAAGTCCATTTATGGAAACTACGCTGCAAAAATGGCCCATCTGAGATGTCAACAGTTTAACTCCGTGCATTCATCCTGAAGTTACAGGGAGCATTTTAGCATCATGCTACTTTTTAAATGAGGCACAGTACACGACATCCAATCAGAAAAGAGCTCATTTACCAGCTCATATACCAGCCTTAAAGGAACAGCCTGTTTAATGATAAGCCATACATTGAAAAAAAAACTGTAGAATTGAATTATGGCTGTTTTTTGGTACATAAAACCACATAAATATTGTAAATGGACCTCAGCGAAATAAAAATAAAATAGAAGAAAATTGAGGGATATGGGCCCTTTATGTTTAAAACCAGTGTTAGTCTTTTTTGCAGTCAAAAAAACAGAGCCGTTAACTAATAAGTGAATAACAAAGTTTAAAGAAATCAGTAACTTTTATTACAGGCTCTGGGTAACAAACACCCATATAAACATTATAATACTGTCGTAGGAAACACACTGCACTGAGAAACGAGTTGTGACGTTGTGTAACGAAGTGACGCAGCAGTGACTTTAATAAAAATGGTCTCGGCTTCATTCCCGCCGAGAGCGTTTGGCCTCCACGACGAGAGGTTTTAAAAGGTCATGAATATTTCAACATGACTGATAAGGCACTATTTCGTGAGTGAAGAGCCCAGCAGGTTGTGTGATGGATGGAGGGATGGAGAGAGAGAGAGAGAGAGAGAGGTAGGTCGGTCACTGCTGCAGGGCAGGAATGATTTTCCCCTGGCACTGACCAAAACCAACACGGTAACCCCGGCCTTCACAATAACCTACAGGGAGAGAGAGAGAGAGAGAGAGCGAGAGAGAGAGAGAGAGAGAGAGAGAGAGAGAGAATGAGAATGAGAGAGACAATGTGAGAGAGAGAAAAGAGAAAAAATGAGTGAGAGAAAGAGGGAGAGAAAGAGTGATAGAGAATGAAAGGGACAGACAGAAAGAGAAAAAAGGTGAAGAGAGGGTGAGAGGGGGATGAGAGAGAGACAGAGAGAGAAAGAGTGAGTGAAAGAAAGAGAGATGGAGACAGAGCAAGAGAGAGAATGAGAGACAGTGAGCGAGAAAGAAAGAGAGAGTGAGAGAAAGTGAGAGAGAGATGGAGAGAGTTAGAGAAAGAACGAGAGTGAGAGAAACAATGTCAGAGAGTGAAGAGAGAAAGGGTGAGTAAGAGAAAGATAGAGAGATGGAGGGAGAGTGAGAATGAAAAAGGCAAAAAGAGAAAAAGGATAGAGAGAGGGGAAGAGAGGGAGAGGGGGAAGAGAGTGAGAGTGAATGAGAATTTGAGACAGTGAGCGAGAGAGAAAGAGAGATGGAGAGAGTGAGAGAAAGATAAAAAGCACATTTTCAGGTTTGATATGACTTTCAATTCTGAGGTCAAGTTTACATTCCATTTTTTGATTTCAATACTTTATGTATTCAACTGTTTTGGTTATACAGTTTTAATTATATTCTACACAGATTGTTTCTGCTCAGATAAATAAAAGTCCTCAAACTGCCTCTCGCCTCCCTCTAACAAAATAAACGCCAAAAATAACAACCCCTACAATTAATAACTGATTTATAACAGGTAATTTGAGTGTGGGTGTGTCCATAGCATAAACCCCTCCCACCTCCTGCCCACTTTAATCTGATGGGTTTCACTTGTTTTTAACGCTAGCCACGTTTACCTGCAGCCTAACAATCCATTAATAATCAGACTTAAGGCTCAATTGGAATAGAATATGTCCATGTAAACACCTCAATCAAAGTAGACTAGTCCGACTGAAGCCATTTGGAATACAATTTCTATCCAATTGAACAAAGTGGGTAATCCTGTAAAAAATCTGTTAAGTATAAGGATAATATATGTGTAAACGCCTGTATCTGATTACATTCCCAATTGGAAAGTTTAAGTACGTTCTGCGCATGTGTGTCATGTCATAGAGAAAGTTTATGACGTTATAAGCTTATGTGTCTCAGAACACGACGTCTTCCTCTCAGCCTTCTTTAATAAGTACATGTGAAGTATGTTTTCCTGAGACATCATTTTAAAGCAATTTAAAACACAAGCACTGCTCACTGCTGCTCGTCTCACTCTGACTGGACTCATGTGATGCTCGTTGTCATGGTAACGTCTACACTAAGCGGTGCTCTAGGCATGAGTGGAATTTTTGATTGGATTAATTGTAGTTTGCATGTAAGCGAAGGTTTTCCATCAGATTGTTGAGTATAGAGTACACAAACACCTCAGTCTTAATCTATAATCGGAATATATTCCAACAGATTGGCAAAAATCTTTGCATGTAAACACAGCCAGTGATGGTGGTTTCCATGAAAAAGGGACAGATGAGTGATCCTGTTTTACAGACTTGCTGCATAATTCAATTGTTGCAATGTAAACAGAGTGATTCAGAGTGGTTTGGTGTGAAATGGTTCAGATTTCTTTACAGTGGTGGTGACCAACACCAACTCTCTCAAAACACACATGCACACACATACACACCTTCACACACTCTGCACACCCACCTGTAATAGTGACCTCATCTCCATCCTTCAGGAAGGTCCTGCTCTCTCCTCTGCCCAGATCAATCACCTTCGAGCCTCTCCATGAGAGCTCCAACATGGAGCCAAAACTTTCTGGATCCTACATACACACACACACACACACACACACACACACACACACACACACAAACCTTCACTATACAAACCTGCTGTCAAAATCATCTCGAAACCATTTTCCCTTCCTTTAAAAACACCACTTTGAATATTTCATAATGAATGGACCAACATACATTGTCCAAAATTAGCTCAAATAATATACAAAATTGTTGTGTTAACATAAATGAACTCTTAAGAATGGTTTTACCATTTCAGAGATGGTTTATTTTTGAATGTGTTTACCACTTTAGAATCATTTGAATGAAAAAGACATAAATATAATAAAACGCTGGATAAAAACTGCAGATCAGACCTAACTGAGACCTGTGTGTGTCGCCTAATATTCTAATGATGATGCTTTATTGACGTGAGTGAAACAGGCTGTACGTGTCACTGCCCAAAAAAAATCTCCATTTTTTGCGATTTTTAGTTCCTTTACATTGTGTAAAACTTTACAGTGATTGTGTTTATTATTATTTATTTCTGTTTTCGCACATGTGCAGACTGAGAAATCCAAAAGAAATCAGAGCAAAAGTTTACATGCACTGAGAAATCTGATTACTGAGCTAATATCCAGCTCTCTGTATCGGATTTCTTGATCTGATTTCTAGATCGGAGTATGGTGTTTACATGACCATTTGAATAATCAGATAACTGCAGAAATCCAATTATGATCTTGCCTGCTCATGTAAACTTACAATTCCGGAGATACTTAATTTCCTTTGGACAGCAATGATATGCAGGTGGAGTGGCAGACATGGGACATATTTATAGGACATATTTTGTACATGTATATTGTGTCGCCTCAAGAGCAAGATTAACCTAATTAGAATTAAATGTTTGGTTCCCTGGGGCTTTAACATTGATAATAACCAAATATACATGATAGACATGGATGCAAAATCAATATCTAACTAATATTACAATAACACACTGACCGGTCCACTGATGGTTCCAGATGCGAGTAGATCTCCCGGCCGGACGTTGCAGCCGTTCACCGTGTGATGGGCCAGCTGCTGCTTCATTGTCCAGTACATATACTAATAAGGAAACACAGGACATGTGTCAATATCTCTCTCTCGCTCTCGTATATACACCCTCAGACAAAGATATTAGCTTAATGCCATAAATATGCATGATACAAAGACTTATTGGATCTTAGATATTTGATATTTGGTTGCTTTGTTAAAAAAAAATTCATCATCTGATCAAATCTGTGAAAAATATACAAATGTAAAGCATTTTCAAGACTTCAACTCAGAAAACACTGAAGCATTTAACACTGTAGCATAATGGTTAATAATAAATCATCTAAATAAATAGCATCTGTCAAAATGCAGCATATTTCACAAAATCTGTGCAGCTCAAGTGATATAAAACAGGTACTACAAGTAAGCTACAATAAATTTATGCTGGTAACCTTTGGCCTACAAAATAATATACTCAAATCTACGATGTAGATTAGAGTATATTATTGCCATAAGTACATATAAAGCAGAATTATTATTTGCATCAGCCTTTCAGACAATATATTACACACAATATAAACACTAAGAACAGATCATACAAAAAAACTGAAACAAAACAATGAATAAACAGTTAATGAACAGTTTTATGGTGTATTTTTTGCAAATGTGTGAAAAAGCTTTACGTCCTCTATCTGCTGCCTGGATGTTATTACTGAGTGGACATGGCCAGCTGTCTGCATTGATAACGAACCCTGCATAGCGCAGACTCACCCAGCTCTACCTCAGCAAACAGGCTAAAACAAGCAGCGCAACATACACGGCATCGTAGAGCTGACATGCAGAGATCCAAAGAGATCAGGATTGGGAGAATTTGGCTTTGATGATAAAAAAATTGGGTGGAAATTCATGTTTTGGAGGGGACGTACTCAGAACTTTCTACTTAAACATAAACTTTTTCACAGTTACTTTTCAATAACATAAGAAAAAATACCAGCAAAAGTTTACTCAGTATAAAGCAGCCTTGGGTAAATTTATCTTCAACAATCAACTTCAAGTTCATCAGAGTATCTTTATTGGTTTGAAGAGAAGGTTTTGTATATTTTTAATGATTTTCTTTTGCAAACTATTGTTACAAACACGATTGCCAGTGGCTTGTGACTGGATGGAATATTTGAGGAATATTAGAGGCTGCCAAGCTGTTATCAAGGCTAGAACTTCTAATGTTAGTTATTCATCAGTGAGTTATACGGCTTTTCTGAGAATATTGCAATAAATCATGTAAAAAGCAGTTTCTCTGTCTATTTTGAGTGATGGGGTGAATGTTATGCTTGATGGATCCTGTCAAGAATGTCAGTCATTGTTCATCATTCATCATTTACTGTGACACTTAATGAAACAGTATATTATTTTCATGGCTAAATAATTTGGGTTGATGAAGGAAAAAGTAAAAGACACAAAAAGTGACTTAAAAAAAGTTGTTGTTTTTTTTTAATTGATATAAGGTGCTGCTTGAATGTTTGTGAACCCTTTAGAATGTTCTATATTTCTGCATTAATTTGTCCTAAAACATCATCATTTTCCTCAATAAATAAATGAGCAAGTCTAATATTTTTGTCTCATTTGTTTAATTTGGTTCTCTTTATCTACTATTAGCACTTGTGTGAAAATCTGATGAAGTTTTATGTCAAATTTATGCAGAAATATACAAAAAGTGTAAGTATGGAAACAAATCTAGAAATATACATTAATGTTAACTTTATTTAGTAATATTTAAGATGGAATTTTAATTACTGATGATGGACATGTATTTGCATGTATTTGTAACAATATTATACATAAAACACCATTTTCACTTGCACTAAATTAATGTGTACATTAAAGCTTGAAAAACACTTATTTAGCAGATTTTTTAGACTTTTATACAATATTTTATACGTCATGGATACAAATGGCCTGTGATCATGTGAGACGCTCTTTTCTCTCCATAAACCTGCTTAGGCTTTATTACTTAAACTAATCGCTAGCCAACATGGAAAACATGCTCAACTGTATTAAAAGCATTTTGTACATGTGAGGGAGTCAGACAGGGCCAGTTTAGACCCAAGCACTGCTGATCTCTTACCTTAAAGTTGGACTTGCAAATGGTGGCTGCCTCTCTCATTCCTTCCCCTGATGGAGAGTGAAATATGCTACTGAAATCAGGCATGATGTAGATTTTACAGCTGCACTATGTAAGATTTTTTTTTTTTATTGAAAAGAAGTAGCATTGCTGAGTCAGCAGAATAAAAACAGGCTAAAATATTGTGAGCATGCAGTGCTGCGAGTTGGCCTGTACAGCCTGAAGCAATCATTTAAAAGAGGCATCAGGTGGGGACTTTACGTATTAATGTCACACGCACAGATCCAGCTCGATATTTAGATCAAATGATCTCAAAATCAACTTTGCCTCTTTGCAAATATTTGTGAGATCGTGAGAAACTTTTCACAGAATATTACAAAAAATGGACTTAAAAATCACTGACACCTCTTTAAGCACATACCTTTGATGGAGACAAAGAGGTTGATGTTGAAGGTGTACGGGTCTTGGTGTTGAAGATATGGAAGTGGCTCTGGGTCCTAAAATCAAAATACTGTCAGGTCAAATATCAGGGATGTGCATATAGAGAGTCACAGCAAAACACAAACTCTTTTGAATAGGAAAAATCTAAATACTTAAGTATTCATCTTTGTTATATAGCTGGCTGACCACTTAGTCTAAAATAGCCTAAATTAGTCTAAAATAAGCAGCATTTAGTGCTTAAAGTGACAGGGTGCCCATGTTGCATGCTAAATAAGCATATAGTATACAATCCTGTTTCCAAAAAAGTTGGGATGATGTGTAAAATGGAAGTAAAAACAATGAAGAATGAAGAAATGAAGAAACAATGAATAAATAAAAAGAATACAATAATGTGCAAATCATTTAACCCCAGTATTTACTTGAAGATAGAACAAGGGCAACATATCAAATACTGAAACTGAGAAATTTAATTGCGTTTTGTAAAATATATGGACATTTTGAATTTGATGCCAGCAATACGTTTCAAAAAAGTTGGGAAGGGGCAACAAAAGACCGGGAAAGTTTGGCACTGCAATCACAAATGCAAGTTTAAACTCTACCATGCAAAGAAGAAACCATATATAAATAGGATCCAGAAACGCTGCTGCCTTCTCTGGGCTCAAGCTCATTTAAGATTGACTATGGGGAAGTGGAGAAGTGTGGTCCGATGAATCAGAATTTCTAATTCTTTTTGGAAATCATGGACACTGTGTTAAAGACCTCCCAACTTGTTGTCAGTGCACAGTTTAAAAGCCAGCATCCATGATGGTATAGGGGTGTATTAGTGCGCATGGCATGGGTGACTTGCACATGTGTGAAGGCGCCATTAATGCTGGATGATATATATATGATTTGGAACATCAGCTGCCATCCAGACAACGTCTTTTTCAGGGAAGGCCTTCCTTATTTCAGCAAGACAAAGCCAAACCACATACAGCACATATTATAACAGCATGGCTCCATAGTAAAAGAGTCCAGGTGCTAAACTGGCCTGCCTGCAGTATCAAATATTGAAACTGAGAAATGACATTTCTCAGTTTCAATATTTGATATGTTGCCTTTGTACTATTTTCAATTGTATATGGGGTTTAAATCATTTGCACATCATTACATTCTGTTTTTATTTACATTTTGCACAATGTCCCAACTTTTTTGGAAATAAGGTTGTACATAAATTAAAAATATTTAAATACATACTCCTTTTTTTCTAACAATAAGTTTGGTAACATGATGCCAAAAAACTTTTTTGGAATTTAATGTTTTTTTGGAATTGAATGTTTCATTTTTTACGAGGTTTGGGTGCACATAAAATGTGGGACACAGGTTAAGATGACTTTTTTCTGCTTAAATTTGATTTTTTTTTATATTTGCTACACACAGTGACTGAAAACCTTGACTCAAATGAGCATTGAGAAAGAGGGGAAAGAGGAGACTATTCCTCGCTCCACTTGGTCCGGATGGAGAAAGCGGTTGTTAATAACTCTGAGAACAGACTTTAGCACGTCTCATTGCCCCTCACATGCAAAGTCTGCAGTCTGCTCTGCCGCCTCCATCACTCTGAAGCATCTCCTCCACCAGGACCTTCACTGAGATCAGCCCAGCTTCTCTCTTTAACCCCAGATATGATTATCATTTTTAACCATGATCAGCTGTTTCTGCATGAGGCACTAGTCAATGTAGCTAAGGGCTAAAATCCCTACAAGCCCTAAACCACTCTGTATTAAGCCTCTGAAAACCCTTTAACTTTCAAATAAAATACAATTTAATGTTTCAAAAGTGATTTCTGATGGAACGTTTGGTGAAAAATCAAATTTACACAATTTTCCTCCTTACCACAAATGTACTTGATCAGACAAAACATGTTTGGGGTGTAAAGTTTACTTCTTTAAAGGAGCTACGAGGCTAATGTAGGCTTAGCTAACAAGCAAAAAAAGCTTATACCTCACTACCCACACGGAAATCTGATACATGGCCATATATGAACATATATCGTAAAGACTCAAAATATATATGCGTATATGTTGTGTATATATCAAGTATCAAATAGGTGGGTGACCACATTCATCATTTATCTTACATTTATCTTACATAATATATCTATGTATTAAATTATTTGTGTCAGAGAAAATATTTTATATAATGTATATTTCAAGTTTAAATGATTCTGTTGCCTATCATGTTTTACAGATCAGTTATGGAGCTATTATATTCATTTTCACTTCATTTGGAAGTATGTGGAAGAAACAAAAAAGATTAAAATTACAACATTAAAATGCTATATAAGATAAAGCTAATATTTACCATCCATATACGAATAATGTTTTTATTATATATTATTACATATATATCTTACACATGAGTGTTTGTATATGTTGATGTATGGCTAAAACATATGTCCCATATTTGAAAATGGCTAATTTCAAATAAGTTGGCATGTATGTCACATATATGTCTATATGTGACATATATAAGTTGGAAGTAAGGGAATTCCATAGATGCTAATATATTTCATATGTATGAAATCCATATATTGCCATACATCAGATTTCTGTATGGGTAATTAGCACTGTGCTAACAGCTTGCATAAATCATCATTTACTCGGCTCAAAGTAATTTAGGTTCCAAGATGACTTCTACTTGTGTTTTTCCTTGCTTTCCTATGAGTAAGTTTTTCCAGTGAGTGATGTTGGTAGTCCTTGATTTCCAATTCAGCGGGATTGTGTTTTGGCAATGGTTAGTGCTATGAGAAGAATTCTGCTGTTACTCTCTTACTTGTTGATATGTCTCATAATAGACGCAGTGGGAGGGGCTGGTCCAATAGTGTTGGTTATTGATGAATAATGTATTGCCAAACGTGTTTAATGGGCGTACATTACCACATGCACTGTAAAAAATGAGTCAGCTCAACTTAACATGTTATAGAAACTGATTACATGACTTTTCTTGAGTTGACTCAACTTGAGGACACCAGAGTTCACACAACTCAGACTTCTTAGCTGAGTCAAAAGTTCTCCCAGCTACTGTTTCTAGGTCTGCATCTCAGTTAGATAAACAAACTGAATCTGCGTTTTTTTATTTCATCACTAGCTGGCGCTCCTTCTATCACACAGTCTAATCCGGCGTATTTTCCTCTTGGGCTTCCAGATATGGACAGCTATGGTCTTCCTGGGATTAAAACTCACAACCTACTGATGTTGGGATGAATTATTAGACATCTGCACCACATGAGACGATGCTATGCTTTAACGTTAAAACAACAAATATTTTCTCCAGTGTATTAAACATTCATAGACACAAAATCTGAGTTGCTTCATGTGTTTCTGAATGGTGCAATGGACTAAGCCGTCACCCCAACAGGAGGTTGTAAGTTTGAGCCCCAGCGATGCCATAGCCATCCATAAGTGTGTCCCCAAGAGGAAAAATGTCTAGCAGGATTGTGTGATGGAAAGAGTCCTGGCTAGTGGGGGAGCTGAGTATAAAAAGAAAGTTCATTTTATTTACCTCACTGAGATCAGAACTAAAAAATTAAGAGACCTTTTGACTCAACTAAGAAGTTTGAGTTGTGTGAACTCTTGTGCTCCCAAGTTGAGTCAACTCAAGAAAAGTAATCAGTTACTATATCATTCTGAGTTGAGCTGACCTCTCATTTTCAACAATGTGGCATGACTGTAAGAATGAGTGAGTTATTGTGAATTCTAGACTTTGGCTTATACCGTAGATCATCATAGCTGTGATGTTATTCGCGGTAACACATGACAGAGTGTTCTCCTGCTCTTATACAACAGTTCTACAAAAGAAGTAAAAAGGTAAAGCAAAGAAGCCCTGAACACTGTATGAAATGTGCTGGTCCTGTAAAACCCACTGCCCTCCCCTGTAGTGTTTTCCTATTCTAGCATGCCAAGGATGGATTGTTACTAAGCTGATTAGTTAGATCAGATGTGCTGGGAGCAGTGAAAAGACTACAATGCACATGACAGGGGCTACTCCAGTACCAGGGTGGGGAACCTCTGCTTTAATATAAACAAAAGAAAAGCATTTGCTGCACAAATGTCCTTCATGCCATATTCAGTTTTACAATCCACAGTAAGAGTACAAGCCAGGACACTGAGAGAAGTGAGTCTGTTCCGAAATATGCCAAATACTATTATGCTCACAACAAGCCTTTGCCTTTAAAACACTGCTTAAATGACAAAGCAGCAAGATCCTGACATTCGAAACAAAGCTCGTCTCAGTGCTTCTAAACCAGCTGTCATAACAAATTCACCCAAACACAATAAATTCAGTCGTGCTGCTTATAAAGGCTGTGATCAAACTGATCAAACGTGAAAAGGTTACACTGCAAACTGGCTGAGCGTCCTGTAAATAATAACAGAAGTGGCAGAGTCTGAGCACAAACGGCAGGCTTGGTACTGACTTTTAAAAGCAATAAAACCCTTGGAAGCTATTTATGACCATCAAAAGCATGTTGTAATTATTTGTCACTCAAAACTCATTGAAAGAAGTTCAGGACCCAGATTCACAAAAGTTTTCCTAAGAAAAAGCTTACGGAGGATCTTAAGACAAACAATAACATTTAGAAGTATAGAATGGGCCTCATTTACCAATGTCTTCCTAGGTTTCTTCTTAAATCTGTTCTTGAGAAAGGTCCTAAGAACAAGTTTAGATTCATGACGTGTTCTTAGGGCAAAATTGTTCACCTTTGTGCTCTTGAGTGTGTGTAGATTCTGTTCTTACCTAAGAACAAATCCCAATTAAGAAAACATCGGTGAATGTCAGAATCTTTGTATAAACTAAGTAGGTTTAAAGAAGAAATTTTTTCTTAAGAAACAGTTGGTAATGAGGCTCATTGATTCCAGTAATATGACTCTAAAATTTTGCCGTCATAACATCAGCTGTACTGCAATCACAATATGCAACAATATAACAGCCAGACTAGTACTTTGTTTATATTGTGTAGCAGCATTATTTACTGACATATTGAACACAGATTTAGATTTACCTGAACTGCATTTGGCTCCATGAAGGGCATCAAAGCCTCCATTGGCACGACCCAGGGCGAGATGGTGGTCCCGAAATTCTTCCCTAAAAATGGGCCTAATGGCACATACTCCCAAGCTTGGATATCCCGGGCTAGAGAGAGAGAGAGGGGAGAAAGTGAGAAAGAAGGAGAGAGAGGAGAAAAAAGAGTGAGAGATAGGGAAAGAGAGGATAAAGAAAGAGAGAGAAAATGAGGATAGAGTAAGACAGGATGGAGGACAAAAAGGAGAGATAGTGAGAAGAATGAGAGAAAGAAACAAACAAAAATAAAGACAGTGAAAGAGGACGAGAGAAAGATGGAGAGAGAGAAAGAAAAAGAGAAACAAAGAGGAGTGGAATATGATAGAGAAAATTAGAAAGGGAGAGAAAGGATAGAGGGAAAAGTGAGAGGGAAAAAAGAAGGAGAGACAGAGAGAGAGGATAGAGAGAGAGAGAGAGTGGATAGAAAAAAGAGGGTAAAGAAAGAAAGAAAATGAGAGAGAAAGAGAGGAGAATAAAAAGGAGTTAGAGAGGATGGAAAAGAGAGAGAGCGAGAAAGAGAGAATGGATAGAAAAAGAGAAAGAGAAGATAAAGAAAGTAAGAGAAAATGAGGATAGATGAAGAGAGATGGTGAGAGAGAGACAAAAGAGAAAGAAAGAGAATATGAATATGATATATGAATATGATATGATATGACAGAGAAAAGGAGAAAAAGAGAGAGAGAAACAAAGAGAGAGAGAGAAGGAGTGAGTGAGTGAGCCTGCAGTAACAATACATTCACTGGTAAATGGGTTGAGGCTCCTCCTCTGATTCCTGATAGATAAACTCCATTGACCTCCAGTAAACTCGTTAACGCCACGTCAGATGCTCTTCTCTGCCTGGATTGAACTCATGAAAGTCCTGCTCATTGTTCCTTCACTAAGTTGTAATGTGCGCTTCTAAAATGAAATTCAGTTCCTTTCATTTTTCCTGTAAAGTTAACAGGCGTGTGGCCGGCAGCTCTCAGACGGGAGCCGCTTCATTAACCGGAGCTATTTCACTCCTGTTTGGTCAAATCAAAGTTTCATTTCTTCCACTCAGCTGCAGAGAGAAATGATTCCATAAATTTAGCCCAAGATATATACTCTCTCTCTCTCTCTCTCTCTTTCTCTCTCTCTCTCTCGCACACACACACACACACACACACACACACACAAAATCTTCTTTCTGCCCCAAAAAGACAGCAGTTTAACAAAAGTACAGATAAAGGCTTCTGCATGGCTGCTACTGCTGTTTTTAGCTATACAAAATACTGCAGTCCATGCTTTTAGATCACAGTGTGTCATACAGTACCAGAAACCACATTAGTGAGTCTATTAGAGACACTGAACACCTGCACACAGTTTGAGGCAAGTGTGTGATGATTTAGGGATAGAAGTTTACACAATGCTAATTAGCATGCTAATAAGCTTCCATTGCTTAGGGTCATCCCTATATTCCCAGGGTCCTAAATTCCCAGGGCCCTATATTCCCAAGGTCCAAACTGTCCATTGCTTGGATTCATCACTATCCAGCGTTCTTTATTCCCAGGACCCTATCTTTCCAGGGTCTTATATTCCCAGGAACTCAAACTTCATAAAGTTTAAACAATGTTGAATAAATTTACACAATGCTATTTAGCACGCTAATAAGCTTCCATTACGAAGGGTCATCCCTATATTCCCAGGGTCCTATATTCCCAAGGCACTATATTCCCAGGTTCCTATGTTCCCAAGGCACTATATTCCCAGGGTCCTATATTTCCAGGGCACTATATTCCCAGGGCCCTATATTCTTAAGGCAATATGTTCCCAGGGTCCTATATTCCCAAGGCACTATATTCTCAGGGTCCTATATTCCCAAGGCAATATATTCCCACAGCCCTATCTTCCTAGGGTCCTAAGCCTTATAAAGTTTAAACAATGTTAAATAAAATTCACACAACACTATTTAGCATGCTAATGAGCTTCCATTATGTGGGGTCATCCCTATATTCCCAAGGCATTATATTACCAGAGCCCTATATTCCCAAGGCACTATATTCCCGGGGTCATATATTCTCAGGGCACTATATTCCTAGGGTGCTGTATTCTCATGGCGCTGTATTCCCAGGGTCATATATTTGTGTATGTATAAATGCAGATGCATCGAACTATGTATCTGGCTACACTTATGAAGTCAGCATGAACGGGAAATCATATCACATTCTCATTTTGTAATGTGAAGTATTAGTGAGTGAAATATCAGTATCAGGGTGGAGTGGTGGGAGGATGAGGTGAAACATGATGATATTAATATATTATTTTCCCCCGCCTGCTGGTGCACAGTGATGTCATCAAAAATCAGAAGATATTTTAGCGGCTACAAAAGTCACCAAATTTTGATGGGTGACTACAGGAAAAACAAGAATTTTATCTCAAATATGATGAATCATGCTTATTACATCAGGTACACAAATCAACAAGGTAAAAAGATTCTGGGTTGACTTTAAAAATAAAGGTGCCAAAAGGGTTCTTCAGTTTCCAGGCCTGGATTTTGTAATAGCTGGTAGTTAACTGACCTGTTGGTGTGACTGACTGAACCACAGTGCCACACCAACACATGATTACAAAATCCAGGCTCAAATTTAAAGACCTCTGCCATAGAAGAACCACCTTTGGTTCCCTAAAGAGACGTGAGCATGAAGCATCTTTTAAAAGTAGCAAGAACCATTATATACTGTAAAGGTTCTATAGCACTAAAAATGTTTCATCAAAGCCCAGGACCATTAAGGAACCTTTATTATTTAATAAAATCCAGTAATATAGAAAGTTATTTCAAAGTAGTTAAGCCATATTAAGATATAATAGAACCCAAAAAATGTCAAAACCTTTGGTGAGTGAACAGATCTTTAGATCAATAACTTAGTTTAGTTTTTAAGGCTATACTGAGCTATTATATTGATTCAAAGTATATATTGTTTTAGAGTAGCTGTACAGGAATCTAACTTGTCTTCATTCAAATTTAATAAACTGTAAATCAGCAATAAAACATCTATTTTATTTAGATGCAAAGCTCATACAGGGCTATAATAAAAACAACTGCCACTTCGAATGACATATGGAATGAAAAAGCAGCGATATATAAATGCATCCACACACACTGGCTCTTCGGAAGGAAAACAAACTGAAAGTCAGAACTCAATCTGATTCAACAATCTGCTCTGAACAGGAGCCAAACAAACAAACAGGAGTGCAACACTCTATAAAGCCTGGCACCCACACTTCACCAAGCTCCAGCACAGCACCCACCCCTCAGAGTTTCTCATTTCCAGAACCTCCTCAAGCGCTTATAAAACAGCAATATCGGCCGCAGCGAGATGCGGAAGACGCCATTGTAGACTGGCAGTAGGGGGTGATGGAATAATAAAAGAAATTGACGGCAGTGGTTACTCTGAAAGACCATTTTGGCATGACCGGGAAACAGCCGTAAATCACCGCCACGTCGTCAAGTTCGCCCGTCAGGGCCTCTCTGAAGTTTTATAGGGGCCCTGTGAGATATGCTCCATATTTCAGAGCCAACAGGAGGCAGCTCTGGCCATCCACCTTCAGCTAATGGAAAATGTCAGCTTGGTTATTCTGAAGAAAACAGGATGGATGAAGATGGAAAACACGAGGCCTACTCTGATCTCTCGAAACAGGTGGGGTTCATAAATGTATACATCCAACCCGGGACTGACCGATATATCGGTTGGCTGATACTATCGGCTGATATTGAAACAATTGATACTTATCGCTGATAAATCACTAAACTGCCAAATGCCAAGGGCCACAATGATGTCAGCTCTCAAACTTTACAGGATTAAACCTCTTTCGGGGCCAAAAGATTTTCAATAGACAACAACAGCTGAGCAAGGATTATTTAGCATAATGTCCACATTGTTTTTGTCTGGCAAGTAAAAAGATCTGTATCATAATTATCTTTAATTAATAAATATCTTTAATAGCCTGTAATCTACAGAACCCCACTGGTGACATCTGACAACTTATGAGAGCGTGAAACTGGGATTTTAATGCATGTTATGAAAAAATTAAGCTATGCTTTACTGAGTTGTGGCCATGACTTCATTATCAAGGCTTTATTATCTCGTTCAAACAGCTTATTATGTTGTGGCTTCGACTTAATTATCTCAACTTCATTATCTTGTTCCTATGCTTTATTCAAATTGCGGCAAAAGCTTAACTATGTTATTTCATTCCCATGCCTTACGAATTTGTGGCCACAACTTGATTATCTCAACTATGTTGTCTCCTTCCCACACCTTACTAAGTAGTGTCCATGACTTATGTCAACGTCATTATCTCATTCCCATGCCTAAGTTGTGACCCTGACTTAATTATCTCAACTATGTTATCTTGTTCCCACAACATATTAAGTTGTGGCTTCGACTGAAGTATCTCAACTTTATTCACTTAATTATCTTAATTATCTCAATTGTGGCCATGACTTGATCATCTCAACTATGTTATCTCATTCCCACAACTTATTAAGTTGTGGCTTCGACCTAAGTATCCCAACTTTATTATCTTGTTCCCATGCCTTCCGTAATTGTGGCCATGACTTATGTCAACTTCATTATCTCATTCACATGCCTTACTAAGTTGTGGCCATGACTTAATTATCTCTACTTCATTATCTTGTTCCCTTGCCTTATTTAATTGTGGCCACGACTTAAGTTGTGGCTTCGACTTAAGTATCTCAACTTCATTATCTTGTTCCCATGCCTTACTTAACTGTGGCCACGACTTAATTATCTCAACTATGTTGTCTTATTCCCACACCTTACTAAGTAGTGGCCATGACTTAATTATCTCAGCTATGTTAACTTGTTCCCACAACTTAAGTTGTGGCTTAGACTTAATTATCTCAATTATCTAATTACCTTATGTCTTATTCCCATGCCTTATTTAGTTGTGGCCACAACTTAATTATCTCAACTATGTTGTCTCTTTCCCACATCTTACTTAGTAGTGGCCACAACTTAATTATCTCAACTATGTTATCTTATTTCCATGCCTTACTAACTTGTGGCCACAATTTAATTATCTCAACTATGTTATCTTATTTCCATGCCTTACTAATTTGTGGCCACAATTTAATTATCTCAACTATGTTGGCCTTTTCCCACACCTTAATAAATAGTGGCCATGACTTAATTATGTCAACTTCATTATCTCATTCACATGCCTTACTAAGTTGCCATGACTTAATTATCTCAACTATATTATCTTGTTCCCACAACTTATTAAGTTGTGGCTTGACTTAATAATTTCAACTTCATTATCTTGTTCCCATGTCTTATTTAATTGTGGCCATGACTTAATTATCTCAACTATGTTATCTCATTCCCACACCTTACATGGTTGTGGCCACGACTCAATTATCTTAACTTCATTGCCTTGTTCCCATGCCATGTTTATTATCTCATTCCCATGCTTTACTAACTTGTGGCCACAAGTCCATTATCAAGACATCATCACGTTTCCACACCTTACCGAATTGCAGCAACCTTATTATCTCAACTTTATTACCTTATTTAAACGCCTCACTATGTTATGGCCACGACTTACTTTTCTCATTCCTACAGCTTAGTATGCTTTAGTAAGTTGTGGCCATATATTATTTTTATAAAGACAGGATGTCACAAATGGGTCTCTTTAATATTTATTAGTTTAACATCATAACATTGTATGTTTGTAGTGATCTGATCTTTTATGTAACATATCATATTCAAAATACACCGATCAGCATAACATTATGACCACCTCCTGCAGTGTGGTCATAATGTTATGCCTGACCTGTGTATATCCTCTGTGGGTGCTAAATGCTCCGTGTACGTACTTGTGAATCACTGCTATACAGTAACCTGAAGCTTTCAGCCTGATCCTTCGAGAGAACAGCTGTCAGATGTGTGTTTGGTGGTGGAGAGCGTGAGCTTTGATGAGACGCTCCATTATAGAGATCTGAAGTGCACTCTCTGACCTTCAGTATACACTTTATTCCTGATTATTGCTCTCATAAAACCCAACTGACTCACACTCGACCAGAGATACACGCCAAGCAGCTGAACTGAATCTTAATGTGTAGAACAGACAGGATAAAAGTAAACTACTCTCTCCTACACAGCTAAAAATGACATCTTAGCAACGTTAAATGCATAAATAATGTTATTTTCTACATCATCTTGCTGCAGCACAGTCATGATTTATTGAGGGTGTTTCTGGGCAGCTAAAGGAGAAGAAGAGAACACTCACCGCTCCAGTCGTTCATCAGGACCATGCCGAAGATGTGCTCGTGAGCTTTCTCTATGGGGATTGGCTCTCCCAGCTTGTTTCCAGCACCCACGAAGAATGCCTACAACACACATGCACAAACTAACTGAAGTTACAACCAGAGTAACTGAGTATGAAGTGAAAATGGTTATATTTTTATGTGTTCACAAGTGAAGAACTACATTTATTATATTTTTCATTTGCTGCAAAATGATATTTTGCAAATGCACTCAAGGTTTGGGGTGAAATAAATGAGCATTAGTGAGCATTAAGGATGGGAAATATGGAAGAACTAGAAGGCGTTTTCACAATACCTGATATATATCATAATATTTTTCTGATGTTTTTGTAAAAAGCAGCGTTATTATAGTTTTGAAATTATCACAGTCCAAACAGAAAATTATCTTCTATCACAACAATAAATCTTATTCTTTTCTCTGATAAGACTGATTGTCTCACAAAGCACTGTGAGAGTAGGACTGCTTCATTTCAAAATTTTGGTACCACTTTAAAATGAGACTACCTTTATAAAGCGTTCATAAATGGTTTAAAATGAGTTTATTAATGGTTATTAATTAGGTCATACAGACCTTAAAATCATTAATAAGCATTTACAACACATAAATAAAAAATGGCCACAGCGACCTGTTGTTTAGTTCATAGTAAACACCACTACGCTAAACCTCAGATTATGAAGCTTTGATGTGATCCTACTTTGTCTTATTCATCAGTCAGCATTAAACCTGTCAGCTTAATCACATATTCATATTCATCAGATATAACAGCTCACTTTTGCCCTTTTTATTAATATGTTATAACTGCTTATGAATGCTTTTTAAAGTGATTATGGCCTATCTAGTGACCATCAGGTTTACTGTGTAGTTCTACAATTACAGACAGTAGTGCATCTGTTTCTCCGCATTCTTTGTTAGCCCCTTTTTACCCTGTTCTTCAATGGTCAGTACCCCCACAGAGCAGGTATTATTTGGGTGGTGGATCATTCTTAGCACTGCAGTAACACTGACGTGGTGGTGGTATGTTAGTGTGTGTTGCACTAGTACGAGTGGATCAGACACAGCAGTGCTTCTGCATTAAACTCATCAGACGTCTGGTTCCTATCACCACCACTGTGAGCAATTCTGACTCTGTAAGTTTCTCTAGAATGGAGCATTTCACACCAAACCACTAAAAATGACTTTGTGTACATCTTAACATTTTAATTATGAAGACGTTTTAAAAAATCAGTGGAATTCCCCTTTAACATAGGCTGAAATAGCTAAAGTAAAAGCACCCTCACCATTTCCAGCTCAATGTCCAGCTGCTTGCTGGCCCCGAACACTGGCGGCTTGGCTGTTGAAACAAAAAGGAAGAGGAAAATAAATAAACAGACTCGAGTCTGACAGCCGTTCTGACGTCCACTCCAGCACGCTCCAGCAGGCAGCACATCCACGCTACATTAACATTCAGCTTTCTAACTCGCTGCTTGTTCAGATCAACCAAAGTGTCAAGCTGCAGCAGCGATTGGTGTCGGACGACAGCATAACGCAGCTGATCAAAGGCAAATATTTGGGGATGTAATAAGAGAACTAACCTTGGAGTCCTCTGAGCAACTTAACGTAAGCCATCCATGCAAAGTTTCTCTTGACTTTTATTATCAGTCAGTGGCCTGAGGCCATGGGGTAGCAATGCTGAGGTTATTGTAATGAGGGCCTGTTGACACGGCTGCTGCTGAAACATGCAGTGTCATGGTCCTCAATAGTAAAAGACAGGCAGAAAGGCTGGCGGTATTGATATTGATTCAGTATTTTCCTAATACATTATGAGTCTAATATACCTGAAATATAGCTGTATGCAAATGTTTGAACAGCCCTGGTCAATTACACGTTTTGTTGATTTTTTAAGTGTAAGTGAGTTAAAGGGGAACTCCACAGACTTTGCAAAATTACTTAATCATTCAATGGTTTTAATGTAAACAAAATCTAGTTACTAGTACTATAATGGTGAACCATTCTGACTCTAGTAAGGCGCATTTCACACCGAACCACTCTGAATGATTTTGTTCATAACTAAACCATTGAATGATTAAGTAATTTTGCAAACCTCTACAGTGAACACAGACATTTTTCAGCACATTTTAACATATTAGAATAAAAGTACAGCATATAAAAGGTGCCATAACTTTTGCACAGGCCATATTTCTAATATGTTTTTTTCTAATATGTTAAATTCACACTGTAAATAAACTGTGATTGTGCATTAAAATGTACAAAAGTTCTCTGAGCACAAAGAGCATATATATATATATATATAGAGATAGAGAGAGAGAGAGAGAGAGAGAGAGAGAGCGGAGCGTTTACCAAGTAACAACATCCACTGTAACAGTTTTCTACAGTACTAGTCAAAAAACATTTTGATTAATTGTATGTTTTTCATAATTAAGGAAAGCTTAACTGTTTAAAATGCTTTATGAGCTCCATCTACCTTATAGGTCCACTACATAGGTTTACAATTACAGCTTGTAAATATCCAGCCAAAGGTGCTCTGTGGTCAGAAGCTGACCATTGATGAAGGACTAGAGGATGGCTAACACAAACTGTGCCTCAACAGGTGAGCTACAGTCTGTAAATGTATAGCTAGGTGGAGCTACAAGAGAGGGGTTTCTAATAAAGTGGAGAGGTAATCTGTAATGTTTTAAAATAGTGTATATTAGTGTGCATGTGCATGGTTACCTGGGTCTGGCCTCATTTGACCCTGGGGTCTTCTGATAGGTGTTCCTGACACTATCACAGAAGAAGCTCGGCCGTGATAGCCCACCGGAAGCCTCAACCTGGAGATCAGAAAAACATCACTCTTTCACTCCATCACATTTTCCCTTTTATAGCCAGCATGTTCCACCAATGACAAGGCTCATTCATTCTCTTCTCCAGAGTGTGGCCTGGAGGTAGCACCCATCAACCATCCATCCAGCCATATCCCTCTTCATTTGCTCAACAAAAGGGCCCTGCACTCTCTCTCTTCCCCCATCTGTCTGTCATTATCTCTCTCTTGAAGGAAAAGTTTGATGAAAAATCAAACGTACACAATTTTCTTCTTATCCTAAGCCTGGACATGTTTGGTGTCTGGAATTTGCTCTATTCTTTTACATTGCAGCTACACTATATGGCCAAAAGTATGTGGGCACCCTCCTAATAATTGAGTTCAGGTGTTTCTGCTACACCCATTGCTAGCAGGTGTTTACTTATTTACTGCCTATAGAAATGTAATTCATTACACTACTAATTACATTACTTGTGTGTTTCTCCACAAACTGAGAGCAATTGTCGCGCAATCGTCAGTTAACAATAGCCTGTACCACTAAACCTTACATATGCCACAAAGCTGAATTCAGCTTCTCATTCGCCAGCTTCTCATTCTTGTTCAGATTTTCCTGTTCCACCTTAAAAGGTACAGCTGTTATTAATGCCTCCAGCACCAGAATGTGACTACTGCACAATTTAAGGTGGAATGAAAAAATTCGAACAAGAAGCTGGCAAATAAGAAGCTGAATTCATCTCCGTAGCATATGTAAGGTTTAGCGGAACAGGCTATTGTTAACTGACAATTATGCAACAATTGCTCTCAGGCGATTTCCTGGAGATATGCAAAAGTTAAAAATTAATTACTTTCTACAAGCAGTAAAGTAATGCATTACTTTTTTTTTAAAAAGTAACGAGTAATGTGTAATACATTACTTCCTTTGAGTAACAACCCCAACACAGGTCGTGAGTAACTTGCACATCTGTGAAGGTACCATAAGCGCTGAAAGATAAATACACATTTTGGAGCAACATATGCTGCCTTCTATCTGACGTCTTTTTCAGGGACCCCTATAAAAAATGTAACATGCAGTGCAAAATATGACAACAAAGGCGCTGCATGGTTGCGCAGCTGAAGACACATAAAAAAATGAATGGTGATGTAAACATGCCCCTGTCCAAACTTTTTTGGAATGTGTTACAGCCATCAATTTTACTAATCACTTCTCTCTGTTTTTATTAGCATTTCACACACTGTCTTAGCTTTTTTAAAACTGAGGTTTGTAGTATTTTGCCTGTATTGTGCAACTCTAAGTCCAGTACACCACTGCACCTTCAACAGCTTTAGTGGAACCAAATGTAAACCACCTTTAAACTCCTGCTCCGCAAGATGAACACTTCTTCCCTGAAGGAGTGACTCAAATTTAGAAAGCAGGGAGGCAGATTTAGTGACCCTTGGGGGCACTGCAGTAGGTTCCGAAGCAAAAAAACAGAAAATCGAAATGAATTCTGTAGCTTCTCTGCCTGTCCCCCTTCATCACTTTGCTCCATCTACAGGCAAATAACTCTTGGTCTCAGAAAAGCGCTTCTGAGGCTTGTAAGTAAGACTGGAGGAAAATTATGCAGCAACTGTGTTTCTTGCACAATTCATCGCAGGGTGTCAGCCTTTTTTCTCCACAGCGGGTAGAGAACTATGCAGGTGAATTATTTGGAGAGGGGGCCGTGTGTCAAGGATGAATAAGGGGGAAGTTTTGGGAAAATAGCTACAGGGACTTCTCTGGGTAATGAAAACTGCATATTTCTCTCCCACACATACGCGCTCGCGCCAGTAGAGGTGCGAAGCCGCAAGGATGTCAGGAATGTTCAAAGTGAGGCGGAACTAGTGAGTCAGCTATACTGAGACTCACCCATCATACTGAATAAGGCAGAGAGAATTCAGCTTGTTCTTATGAACACTGGAGGCCAAAAATCTAATTTACACACGTCTCCTTTTGCCACAATGTAGTCCATCAGCCAAAACACGTCTGGTGTCTGAAGTTTGCTTGTTTAGTTTTGCACTGGAGCTTTGAGGCTAATTTAGCTAACAAGTGATGGAGGCTTATGCACACCAATTAGCATCAAACTGCTTGCCTAAATCATCATACATTTGCCTCAAACTGTGTGGAGTTGTTCAGTAATCTCTAACAGACTTGCTTATGTGGTTTCTGACACTCTTATATATAAACATGGATGAAAGTATGTCACATTAGGGACAGGTGTTGCTACAGGCCCCCTGAAGACAATATTGTTATAATATGTTGATATAATATGCAAACTTTGCTCTGTCACTCACAGGCCTCCACTGACAGAAGCCTTAAGCTGGCTTTACACCGTGAAACTTTCATGCAACTTTACCTGCTTGAAACCTACATGAAACTTACTTGAAACTCAGCTGCAACAGTTACAACTTCATGAGTTTCATGAAACAGCCAGTCAAAACATCAAAAACACATCATGTGATCACGCTGAATGACTAATTTCGCTGCATCAGTGGACATAAAAAATATAAGCTAGTTTATTGAAACGATGGAACAAATATGCAAAGATTATTCTGCACCTTGCGGAAGCCTTTATATCGAGAACTATATGATGCATCAAAAAATATGAGCTGCTAATTTGGATATTTAATGGAATAAATGAATGTGTTGTGTGTAATATTCATTGCTTTTTAATTGCTTTGTATAACTGTCAAGTTGCGCAGACATTATGTTGCAGGCAACTCACAACATGCAATTAGTTGCATGAAAGTTTCACTGTGTAAAGCCAGACGGTGGAGTGTATTCTGCTTAAAATGCCATTACATTGTACAGGAGGATGCAAATTTTGCTGGCTACTCGTTACGCCACGGATCCCGTCTTTCAGCTGTGGTTCATGCATGAATTTGGAAAATATTCAGCAAAACATTTAAGCAAATAAGCTCCACTTGCTTGAGTCACTTTTTACCAGATAACCAATTAAAAAAGAGGACGAGTAAAACTGAACCAGACAGCACACTGTACAGGACGACAGTTTTGCTCACATTTGCGATTTAAAAAAAAATTAAGATACAATTTATAAGATGAATATTTAATTTGAATATTATTCCACTGGAATTTGTGCCATTGTCTACATTGTTATCACCAATATTTGCTACCAGACCTTCAGAACTAGACGACAACTACCCCTCACCACTGTAACTTTGTGAGTAATTTACTTTAACTTAAAAATATGACTTGGCTCTTTTCTCGCTCGTTGTGGTGCTCATATATATACATATATGGACCGTGCTGATTAGTTATCATAGGTTTTCATTACTTGATAGCTACATTAGCCTTGTAGCACCAATGCAAAACTAAAGAAGCAGACATCCAACATGTTTAGAATGATCAAGTGCATTTAGGGTAAGTGGCTAAACTGTTTAAATTTGATTTTTGACTTTAACTTGCTACTATTGCTTTAAATGTCTGGAGAAACACTATCCATATGGTCACCAGGAGTCAGAAACGACTTGATGCACTTAATAATATTAATAATCACTTTAACTAACTACCTACCAGTTGGGCATCAGGGCATTCTCTTTGCCGCGGAACATGATCCCGACATTAGTGGCATGATCTCTGGAGGAGTAGAAGTCTGTGTAGTCTCCTACAGAAAGAAACAAGGTGGAGAGAATAGGAGAACAGAGAGAGAGAGGGAGAGTGAGAGAGCGAGAAATATGAAGAGGAAACATATACATAATGTGTCTCAAACAAAAAAGGTTGTGTCTCAAGTTCTTTACAGAAAGATAGATTACACAACTATTATTTCTGCAGATACAGTTGAAATATGAAATACTGAAATACTATGAAATATCAGAGTGTCATAACTTTAGAGGGAAGAGAGATGAAAGGCGTGATCCTGCTGTTTTTTTTTTTTAACTGAAGTTTGTAGTTAGTGCACAGCGCCCTCAGGTGGCAGAGAGTGAATGGTTGATTTAGGTGCAAATATTTACTACAATTATTTGCTAAAAATGAAAAGACTATATGTTCATCAAAGAAACTAAGCGAGTTTTTAATATATACCTTCAATGTTTTTTGTCATTTTTATTGCCACAAATAATAACTGATATTTATTATGATACTGTTTTCCTCAAAATAAACCTTGCAAGTGAACATAGAAAATGTGTTCATCAGTATTAAAGAGGAATTTCTGCATAATAAACTTGTTAAGATGTAAACAAATCTATTCAGAGTGGTTTGGTGTGAAATGTTCCATTCTAGTCAGAATTGTTCACAGTGGTGGTGATAAGAACCAGACGTCCACCTCTAAAAGCTCCCTCACAGAAAGTTATTACATGTTATTACATGTTATAAATATGCTGCCTAATGTCTGAGACACTGTTTTATGATAGCTCTGAGAAGGTTTTGGGTTAAAACTTAATTTTCAAAATCTATTCATTTTGAAGGAATACATGCAAGGAATTATTAGGCAAAATGGTCCCCAAAGAAAACTTTATTTTTTCACATTTACTGCTATTTTACCATCATCAACATTCCATATAAAACTCAGAAGACACGTGTAGGTTCACTGGTGGTTTTGGATAGTAAATAAAACGGCTATATTTGTGTTGTAGTCATGGCGACGTCTGGTTCCTATCACCACCATTGTAAAGAAATCTGAGGCTCTACAATCAACCATTTCACACCAAACCACTCTGAATGACTGTATGCACATCTTAGCCACTACGTTATTCAGACAATTTGAATCAGGGTAATTCTCTTTTAAACAATATTTTAAAAAAAGCTAGTTGTCTCTAAACTGATAGGCTGTGTATGTACCTACAGGAACTGCTTCGCTGGGAAAGCTCAATGTTACTGTATATTGCAAAAGCATTAGAGAAGACAGAAGGACAGAAAAAGAAAAGAGCTCGACAGAGCATTACAGAAGATGGGTCAAAGTCAGGAGAGATAGTGTGATGGTGTCACTATGAGATGCACTGTCGCTCTCTGAGCGCTCACCTATCTCAGCTGGTAGGTGCATCACTGCAGAACTCTGATCCACAAAAGCTCTGAAACACACAATCACACGCAGGTTTTGAGGAAGAGAAGTTCTAAAGTGTAATGTTTGAGGTGTGCTGAGAACCAGAGAGACAAAACAGCCAGCTTGTTACTCTTACATTGTTGCATACCGTCAGTACATTTGGGAGATGTGTCCTTCTGTTAGTGACGAATGTTGTACACTTCAAGTACTGCAATGGTTCCTTTACATGTGAAGCAGATTGTTTTGTCTTTAAATTCCCTGAACAGATATTCTTCACTCATGTCTGTATGCTGCGACATCACATAAAACATAAAATGTGGCCTGTGCAAAAGTTATGGCACATCTTATATTTTATTTTTTCCCCCAGTGTGCTAAACTTAGCAAATCAATAGAAATTGTGCCCTAAAATGTGCAAAGAAAATCCATCAGACAGGCCAAATCAAGCGTCACTGCAGCCACGTTGGGCCCCCCTGATTTAGAGTAACTGTTTAAAAGCTATCAATCAAAACATAAAACAATATTCGTAACTCAGCAGCGAATTCATTTGCTTAATACAAATGTTCTAAATCAACATTTTTCCAATTCAGTCCTTGTAGAAACAGACAGCCAGACCCATTTTTTGCACCATCCCAGCTCAAAACACACCTGCACTTAGCAGTCAAGACTCAACACCTGGTGGAGTAGAGCTGAGAGCTAAAATATGGACTAGGGGAGAGGGGGGCACAATTTAAGTTTAAAATATAAAAATGTATGGATATTTTATGCAGTTACACAGCTTCAAACACAATATGCTTTAAGTCACCAACCTGTATTCTTATAGCAACATCATCTGCGACTTGTGACAGCAGTTGGCCAGACATTTCTCCAGATTCGTGCATAAGACTGTTTTTGCATAATAAAAAAAGCTTTTTTAATGGTTTTTGATCACTAAGTTGTGTGCATAAGTGACAGAATTCATTGTTATTATTTTAATCTCTCTCTCTGTGACTGTAGAACAATTCTGAAGCATATAAACAACTCAAAGTGGTTGTGATTAATTTTTGCCTTTCCAACTGAATACATTGCAATTATAGATTAAGATTAAGATTAATCATATATTAATGTTTATATGCTCACTCCACTCAACAATCTGATGGAAAATCTCTGTTTACATGCTACACTACAAGTAATCCGATCCAACATTACACGCATGCGTAGAGTAACACGTGTAGAAGTTACCATGACAACCAGCATCACGTGAGTTCAGTCAGAATGAGACGAGCAGCAGTGAGCAGCGCTTGTGTTTTTAATGACTTTAAAATGTCAGACTCAGGAAATCGTACTTCACATGTGCTTATTAAAGAAGGGCGAGAGGAAGACGTCGTGTTCTGAGACCCATAAGCTGGACGCCCGTCCCACCACCGTCTTTTAAAACTCAGAGCATAAACTTTGTCTCCTCTGCAGACCAGTTTCTGCTCCCGCATGTTGAACGTTATACACTTTCTCTATGACGTTACGCACATGATCAGAATGTACTTAAACTTTCCGATTGGGAATGTAATCAGATACAGGCATTTACATGGTTATTATTCTTCTATTTAACCGATTATTTACAGGATTACACAACTCGTTTAATCAGACAGAAGTTGTATTCCGAATGACTTCAATCGGACTAGTCTATTCCGACTGAGGTGTATATATGGACATATTCTATTCCGATTGAGCTATTAGTCAGATTATCAGGCTTGTAAGTTAAATGTGGCTAACGAGAGCTAGCCAGGTGAAAGTACATCCTCACCCAGGGGGGCTAGTTTTAATGTAATATTACAACTAAGACCCCACAAAGTTAACAATGAGAGAACTCCATATTTACCCAAATCTACATTTAAAACAGTCAGTTATTGGAAGCTTTTATTCAGAGATCCAACACAGATGTATGTGAGATACCAAGAAAATAAAACGTATTTAAAGTTTAGCGATCTATTAAAATTGCTCTTTTACTTTGCAGTAAAAAATTAATTTGCCAGCCTCCTTTTACTAACCACATTTCTTTTGATGCAGATTTTTTTTGGAAAGCTTATCTGGTTCAAACAACCCAGAATCATATTGAATTATTTGTGTTTATCTACCAGGCATTTTAACAATTATTACAACCAGCCCCCCAGTCTATTACAGTTTACCCCAACTATGGGGAAAGTTGCAACATTTGTACTCAATTCAGCAGCTGAACTGTTCACAAACAGGAGGTCGTGGATTTTCATTTGTAGTAGAGATGTGTAGGTTGCTTGTTTAAACATATTAATATTGCTCAAATACTGTTTTAAACTATTTTGTAAAAACGGGAATGTATTAGATTGTACCCTGGTCTCTGAGTACTGGGCTGGGAAACCCTACTGTGTGATAGTGAGTATAGGCTAAGCTCTGAACTGCAGCAGAATATCTGTACCTGCTCCTCAAGTTTGCATCATCGCGCAGGGTGGACTCGTTTGCGGCCAGCAGCATCTGCACGTATTTCCTGGCTTCCCTCCAGGCATCGTAGCCCAGGCCCATGAAAGCGTTAAGCGTAGGCTGAGGAAACAAGAGCACGTTTCAACTTTCTTCACTGTGGTCAACAACTTTGATCCTTAATCCAGTTCTTTTGGGATCCCAAGCCAGTCCACATATTTGTTCTCTCCCAGCTCCCAACACAACCAGGCAGTATTATTTGATTCAGGCATGTCAGGAGCTGGATGGAGCACAAATATGGATCATCTTATCCTACGTTCTGCATATTTTAGTGTTTTCTGGCTAAAAACTTCTGATTAAATTTATTACCAGGCTGCAGTGGGTGTGTTAGCAGAGAAACATGCTAAACATGTGACCCAAAACGTAGGACTGGAGACTGCTGGTCTAAAATAGTGCACTACAGAAATATGCACATAAGCTAGTGCTTGTTAATGCAGTCATATAGATGCCCCACCTTTATACCATCCACATCTTTGCTGCATCCCAGCTGCCAAGATGTAAACAGGGTCATTCATAGTGGTTTGGTGTGAAATGATCCATTCTAGAGAAACTTACTGAGTCAGAATTGTTCACAGTGGTGGTGATAGGAACCAGATGTCCACCTCTAAAAGCTCCCTCACAGCAAGTTATTACATGACATGGTTATAAATTCACTGCCTGATGCCTGAGACACTGTATTACAACAGTTTTGGGAAAGTTTATGACTAAAACATATTTTTAAATACAAATATCACATAGAGGTGCATGTGAGACAAAAGAGTCCCTCATGTTTCCAGATATATCACAATTTACCATCATCAACATTACACCGAGCAGGCATAACATTATTACCACCTCCTTGTTTCTACGCTCATTGTCCATTTTATCAGCTTCACTTACTATAAAGGTGCACTTTGTAGTTCTACAATTAGAAACAAGGAGGTGGTCATAATGTTATGTCTGATTGGTGTATGTATAAATACTCAGAAGACACGTGTATGTTCACTGGTGGTTTTGGATAGTAAATAAAATGGCTATATTTGTGTTGTAGTTAGAGTGACCCCTGGTTCCTATGACCACCACTGTAAAGAAATCTGTCTGTAGATTTCTCTACACTGAACCATTTTCCTAACCACTGTACTGTGCAGAAATTTTGAAAAACTGCTGGAGTTTCCCTTTAGGAAAAGAAAAAGAAAATTATTCTGTACTATTCTGATGTATGTCAATTGTAAATGTACTGATAGGGCTGTGGTAGGGGTCCAAGAGTAAACCCATTGGTTACTTGAGGTTATTCTGACAATTCAGGGGTCTCCAAAGACTGGACAGTGACCGCTCTACAGCCCGTGATTACCTGGCTCAGGTGTGTTTGGAGCCGGAATAAATTAAAATACGGATCTGAAGGTCTTCAAGGACTTGAAAGAGTGTAAAGCTCACCTGGTCAAACACATCCTGGTGCTGCCCAAGCACAGGTCCATTGAAAAGGTGCTTAATAACACTGAGGTCCAAAATCTGGTCTCCAATAGCAACGCCGATCCTGTGCCGAGGCTGAAATTCACATGTGCATTGAAGAAATTAGCAGTGCTAGTTAGCCTAAAAACTTAAAAAGATGGTTCTTTGAGGGTTCTTAGTGAAAAGAATGGTTCTATTTAGAACCTTGAGCTCTGTATAGAGCCATTTCATGCTTATATGGTTCTCTGCATGGTGAAAGCGTTTTTCAGATTGATGGAGAATGTGCTGTTGATGGTTCTATATGGCACCTTTTAAAAATGGTTCTACATACACACTTAAAACTTTGACTTGACTTGGTTCTTCAAGGGTTCTTTAGTAAAGAACATGGTTCTACAGAACAATGAACACTCAAAGAACCCTGTGCAAGATCAAAGAGATCTTTGCATCATGAAAGGGTCCATTAGATTGATGGAGAATGCGCTGTAGATGGTTCTACATAGAACTTTTTTTAAAAGGGTTCTATATAGCACAGAAAGGATCTGCTGTTGTTACAAGCTTGACATTGTAACAGTAGCAGAATCCTTTTTGGACGCTACACTTTAAAAAATAATGGTTCTTCAAGGGTTCTTCAGTAAGGAAAATGGTTCTATATAGAACCAAGAATCAAAGACCCCTCTGCATGATTACAGGGTTCTTCGCAGCATTAAACAGTTCTTCTGCAAATTGATTATGAAAGTGCTGTAGATGCCTTTTTGAAAAGGGTTCTTCTATTATTACAATGTCAATCTTGTAACAATAGAAGAACTCCTTTTGGTGCTATAGAGAACCCCTTTCAAAAGGGTTCTATATATAACCATCTACAGCACATTCTCCATCAATCTGAAGAACGCTTTTATGGTGCAAAGAACATTTTAATCATGCAAAGGGCTCTTTGAGTGTTCATGGTTCTACATAGAACCATTTTCTTTTACTAAAGAACCCTTGAAGAACCACAATTTTTAAGTGTGTAGGTACAATCATTTTAAACGGTGCTATACAGAACCATATAGAAAACATTCTCCATCAATCTGAAGAACAATTTCACCATGCAAAGAACCATTTAATAATGAAATGGTCCTAGGCCTATATAGAGCTCAAGGTTCTAAACAGAACATTCCCTTTACTATGGAATCATTGAAGAATCATATTTGGTCCACAGCTTGAAGCTCATTGGGCTGCCAGTCATTTCCCTAGTTTCTCAGCAGAAAACAGCAGTTGTTAATATTTTACTCACATTGTCGCGGGTTGAGAACACTCCGTAGGGCAGGTTGTGGTAGGAAAAGTCTGAACTTTCGTCCACTTTTATAAAAGACATTTCGAAGTTGCAGTTAAACTCAGGAATACTTCTCAAAGTCACCAGCAACAAAAGAGCTAAACCCTTCCAGATGCTCTCCACTGCAGCCATATGAAGTTACCGCCTCCTCGCTTTCTGTTTTTCCCACCTGTGTTGCGTCAAGCCACGCCTACACGCCGGTTATGATTGGCTAGTAACCTCCTGCCCTCTACATTGTGATTGGCTAACACCCCCCACCTCCTACGCTAAGAATGCCTGGTAATTCATTCATCACATGTAGTCTATTACTACTAGCCAATCGTGACTCATGAGGCGTGGCTTTCCGGAAAACAGGTGGAGAAAAACACAACGCCTCTGAAGGCAGAACAGCTGTCCAATCAAACGCGCTCTCTCAGATCCTCCCTTCTCCAAATTCACCCAGTAAAAGTAATGAAAAAGCACTGGAAATGACTCAGCACAAATGTGCCAAAGTCAAAGGTTTGAGCAGTTGGAATGAATTCTAGGACTTTTATAAACTGTATAAGTATGACTTTCTGTTATAATACAGTGCTCATAGTACGACATTCTCGATAACATTATTGTCCAAAAGTTTGTAGACACCTCCTCCAGTGTTCCCTCTGAAATGAATGGTTTTAGTAGAGACTTTGCTGCTGTAACAGCCTCTACTCTTCTGGGAAGGTTTTTACACTAGATTTGCTCTGAGGATTTGATTGCATTTGGCCATAAGAGTGTTAGTGAGGTCAGGTACTGATGTTGGATGGTCAGTTCTGGATCACTCCAACTCATCCCAAAGGCACTGGATGGAGCTCACGCACTCTAGAGAACACAGTTCCACTGCTCCACAGCCCAATGCTGGGGGGCTTTATACCCCTCTAGCCCATGCTTGGCAATGGGCATGGTGACTGGATCTGTACGCAATCACTCTGAATATACAACTTGCTCAAAACAGAAAATCTGGACTGTACACATAACAGCATGACTTAGCAAAGCAGAGGCAACAACTGTTAAACCCCAGAAATACTTCATATCACACATTCTGAACTATCTGCAGCACATATAAGCGTATAAGCCAGACATATAAGCCCCTAAATTGCAGGTTACCGAGTTATCTCAAGACTTAATTTAAATCATGATAATACCGGGAAAGCTACCTACGAAGGGCCTTTTATAAATTTATAAAGTAATGCTTCAATATTTATAGGCAGCTTATACTATTAATTGAAGAGCCCTTAAACAGACATTTGTTCCATTTATGAGAATGTTTTGAAGGATCGTTCCCATGTTATGGAACTTACAAGGCAGAGGCCTAGATAAGAGCACCACCTATCAGTTCTATGGAAGCCCATGAACGTAAGTGGCCGCTTTCAAACATATTTTCACATATATATTCCCACACAAAAACCCTACACTCGAGTAAAAGCAGAATTTCTTAGCACTGTTAGTTGCTAATGTGTGCAGTTACACACTCCTTCATAGAAATGATACATTTGTACTTTACCTTAAGTAGAAATATATAGCACTGATATATAGTGATATGGTGCTCTTAACTAGGTGCAACAAGTGTAACAAGCTCCATTACTTGGGAATGATGCTTCATAACTGTTATAAATGGAACAAATATATGTCAGGTTAGTTTAAATAGTTTATTTATATATAATGCACCAAGACGTTTGCAGCAGATCCTTAGTCTAATTCCTGTAAGTTGAGACGGAGCAGTTGGGGTTCGGACTTCATCCAGCACATCTCAACTGGATTGAGATCTGGGAACTTTTTGGAGGCCAGAGCAACTCTTTGAACTCTTCATCATGTTCCTCAAAACATTGCCAAACAACAAATATCACTGCCACTGGTCCACAATGTTTAGGTAGGTGGTACATGTCAATTTGACATCCACATGAATGCCCAGAGCCAGGGGTTCCCAGTAGAACATCACCCAGAGCATCACACTCCCTCCACCGGCTTAACTTCTACCCACAGTGCATCCTCTTGCCATCATTTCCACAGGTAAACTTGCACAAGTGCCTGGCCGTCCACATGATGTAAAAGAAAACAGGACTTATCGGGCCAGGCGGCCTTCTTCCACTGCTGTGAGGTCCAGTTATGAGGCTCATGTGTCCATTGTAGGCTCTGTCAATGGTGGACAAGGTCAGCATGGGCACTCTGACCGATCTGCAGCTGCATAGCTCCATATGCAGCAGGGTACAAAATAGTGTGCTGTGACCAGGGTGTTATGACCAGACAGAATTGCCTTCACTGCCCCAACACGTATCCGCTTTTTCTGTAACTGGTCATAACGGTTGGTATAGTGTAGTGGGTAACACCTCTGCCTTGTACACTATAGACTAGGGTTCAATCCCCCACCTTGGCAAGCACCCTACACTATACCAATAAGAGTCCTTGGGCGAGACTCCTAACACTACCTTTGCCTACCTGTGGAAAATGACCAAATTGTGAGTCGCTCTGAATAAGAGCATCAGCCAAATGCTGTACATGTAATAATGTTTGGGCTCACTGGTGTATACGTATACAGTATCTATCAATGTATATATGAAGACACAGTACTGTCCTTTCACACTAGTAACTGAGCTGTAATCTGAACAGGAAAAAAAAAAATCATAGCCATTAATGAAACGCAATTATATTAGTCAACAATCTCCAGAGACAGATCAGAAACACACTCTCATACGTTCGCATATTCACACATACCTTCCTGAATTATTGATTATAAACCCTTTTCATAACATAATAAAAAATCAGACGACAAGGCTAACTGACACAAAAAGGATTTTCACACTTTTTAAGCCGCTGATGTGAAACAGAAGCCTCACCTTCCATTTACATTCAGTATTTGAACATAGAACTGCAAAAGAGAAAAACTTCACTCATACAGTCGTATGCAAAAGATTGAACACCCAAGCCCAACTCAAAGTACATGTTTTTGTTAAAATAAGTGAACACAAATTTCTATAGTGAACTTAAATATGTAATATAAATATATGTAATATATAATATAGATATATAGGCATTTACTGCAATTTTTGCGAGTTTAATAAAAAAAAACCCTAAAATATAAAATGTGCCTTAACTTTTACACAAGACAAAACATGCAATTTGACAAAGGGTGGCCAAACATTTGCATATGACTGTATACCATGTTCATTTATAGATTCCAGAAAAGCCCAGCCCCTCGAGTAGTCTCACCACAATAGAAGGAAAGCCCCATTAGTAATTCAAAAGAAAATATAATAAAATTTTATAAATCTAAACGTCTGTAACATTTCACACAATACAATATTTAGAATGGAAATATATTTCAGAGAACGATGCAACTCAGTGTGGCATGCATGATTGAAGGGTCTATGACAGTTTCAATGTGAAGACGAGGGAAACAGTGGGTGGGGGGGTCCATATCACAGGCCACTTAGATCTTCTTAATTTTTTCTCCAGCCACGACTGGATTTTCTTTTCTGATCTTCTCAGCAGCTTCGGCTTTGTAGTCAAAGGAGCAGTTGTGGACGTCGGAGTATCGATGAACGCCACAGAACAAATTCCCACAGCGACAGTCGAAACCTACCACAGAGAAACAGCAGTTAGCATGTTTAAACTCCGTTTAAACCCAGATATTTCAGCTATTAATCTTAAGACTTATTTATTCGTAACCACTACAAACTACGCAGTAACTGCTCCGAAACTAATATGTAAGGCTGTATTTGGACCAGGTGTTTTTGTATAGAAGAAGTGGCTGCCTGGAACACTCTCTGCTGATATGTAACCATATCAACACTGTTAACATTGTGTTTTGCCTTGTATCCTCCTATATCAACTACAGTAACTAGCTCACTCAGCTAGCTATCCAGATTGGGTACACTACTGTTCAAATGTTCATCTTTTTTTGCTATTTTTTTTTTTTTTTATACATTTTTTATTTTATTTTCAATACTAAAGAGAAACAAAATGTACAATGACAACACAGATACAAATAAATGCTTTCCCCCTAGTTGAGTTGATTCTCATGACATCACAGAAATGAATCCAAAACAGGATTCAACAGGATTCCTTACATATTAGTTTAATTCATTTATACAAGAAGTTCCGGGCACGAAAGCTGATTGGTTGGTCTTTCTTTTCTCAGCATCTTATACAGCTCTACTCATCATTCTGGACACATCTAACATTTCTTTGGTTTTGTTTACAGCTCTCTAGTGTCCTACTAGTTACTTTAACCTGTGAAGTTGCACAGGATAGAATTTTATAAACTTGTCTGCAGCCAAAATATGAAGTATTAGTACTGAAAAGATTTGCCTCTAGGGTTCCCATATTGTGATAAGCCGGACTGATAAAACAGAAACGCTGGGTGTGAGTCTTTCTTACCAGTAAGGCCCACTTTCTTGCGGCAGGTGAAGCAGCGGTTCTTTTTCGGTTTGGATTTGTCCACTTCAGTGGTGGAGGACTGCACCGAGACGTCTGATCCAGAGGCTGTGGAAATATTACCATACTTGTCAGGAACCAAAAAAATAAAAATGAAAACAAACCCTCTAGTGAGCAGGGCTCCAGATCCGCGATCTTGCTAAAAAAAACACAGGAACCAATAAGTGTTTCTGTGGGTTTTGGCTTTTTACAGTAAGATTACTTAACAACTTAACACAACTTGAGACAAGAGTGTGATGGTTTAGGCATGCAGCTCACACAATGCTAACCAGTGAGGTACAAGTTAGCTTGCTGGCTAAATTTAGCATCATAGCTGCAGCACAAGACTAAAGTAGCAAACTTAAAACACGTCTTGGCTGATCGATTACATTTGGAATAAGGCAGGAAACTACATGAATTCGATTTTTCACTGAATCTCTTTAACATAAACTGAAGTAAAAGTGCTCGGAGGCAAAAGGAGACCTAATTATTACAGCATAACAGTTGGCAAAACATGGGGCCAATGAAGGCTAACCATGCTAACACTACACTCACCACCATCTTCATCTAGCTGAAGGATCTCATTGAGTTTCCTCTTTCCTCTCCTAGCGCCGTCCTCCACTGACCCAGCTGACCTTAGCAGCTCACCTATGCTAACGTTCTTCTGAACGCTAGCTTCTGCTGCGCTATCAGATGCTCCTTTTACACAAACAAAATCACTCAATTTTAAAACTCAATAATTTTAAACTCAACTGACCTAACCATGTTCTGCTCACAAACATGTTCTTTATAGATACTGTTGTGAGGTTGGACAACATGTTTCACTGCACCATTTATCTGGACGGAAAATTGTACCACATATTTTTACAGCTTCTGCATAATAATATTCAGCTTTCAGTGCAAAATGCTACACTTTTAAGCTGGGCTACGTTGTTGTAGCTAACCGAAAAAAGGCAAGTTGGAAATTTAAGTTGGAGCTTTAATTGGGTGTCCGAGCGTGAATACAGCCCAAGACCTTTCTGTCTGTACCTGACTCGAACCACTTCATCAGGTTTTGAGGCCGAACCCAGCCTAAGCTCTACATAAAATTCTGCTCAAAACTGATCCAAACAGGCAGTTTAATTACTGTGTAGTGACGTTAACAGCGGTCATTAGATTAAGACTATCTTAAATAAAATATGCTTGTTTGATTACACAACCAAAAAAAAAAAAAACACACCAGAATTTATGTTTTATCTTTCTATTAAAAGCATTACAAACTAATAACACTTATGTTGACTAAAACTGAATTGTGCTGTACACTGTCGGCTAAATTATATTGCTGCCAGTGTTCTGTAAAGCTACTGGGCAACAGCTGCTGTGATCAGTTAAGGCTTCAGCTTATCTGTTCTGTGAGTCAACAATCTTCAACAAATTTGAGTCTCGTTCAGTTCGTCAAAACAATTTCTATACCAATTTCTCAGGGCACCTGAGGGTCTTTGTTAGAGCAGTTAGAGCAGAAATGTGGAACCCTCAGGTTGGACCCAAAGACTGGGAAGAGAAGCCACTGCACTGAAAAAAGAAGAATGCTGCAAATAAGTGCGTTTTCACACTTGGGCCATTTCAGTGTCTGAAGCGGACTCTGAGTCATGGTTTTCTATGCATATGTGAACACGCCAAACAAACTCCTCCCTAACGGCCCCAAAAACAAACCGAACTGAGACCACCTCTCGAAGTAATCTCAGTTCGGGGTTGTTTGTAGTTCATTTTGTGGTTCGACTGATTTGTGCATTGCAAAAACAAAATGGCCTCAGTCCGCTTTTGCTTTGTTTTATAGTGAAGACCTGGAGGCCCACTGTACACACAGCCACAGACTTCCAGCACTTCAGCTGGTAAAACAAACCACAAAGGATCATTTATAAGGTTCTACTCAGGATAAAGCCTGTCCGTGATCTGTGACAAGATAGCAGCGCCGACATATTAAAGCAATAACATGCGAGAGCCCGCTTGATTTTACCGTGTTAAAGGCTTTTGCTGGGCGTGCAACAGAGTTTTAAGCTGTGTTCACACTGAACGTTGAATGAATGAAATTGCAGATGCAGATTTTCGCCCAGTGGAGCTCAGTGAGGAGCACAGCCGAAAATGGAGAAGACATGCAGGGTCATTTTTCCAAATTTGTGTGATGCACTTCGGCCAGTCGTTTCAGCGTGGCCAGTAGGAGAGCAGTAGGTGGGTCTGGTAGCTCCTCTCATCCCCGTCAGAGTTCTAAAGGAGCTGTGGTCTTAAAAAGAAGTGGTCTGAGATCTCAAAGGACCAGAAAGAAAACTGAGTCCTCTTTATACTTAATTTACCTTGTGAACACAAAAAGAACTGAGGTCATTTGCAACTGGTTCCCTTTCAGATTCACTTTAACACAACTTAGTTCGGTTCATTTAAAAAGAACTACACATGAAAACACCCTAAGACACAACTATAAGCGGACACTTCCATAGTAGCACCCTGAACACAGGTAAGGTCAAATCTCTAGAAGCAGACAAAAGAAAAAGAGAAATGAAGTGAATTTACTGAGATTTACTCAAATTTATTCAAATATCCACATAAATAAAATATATTGCAATGCAATTTTTTCTTACAGTTTATTTACTTCTTATAGATATAATATTCTATTAATGTGAAAATGTACATTTGAATAAAGTCAATGCATCACTTTTTTTCATTCTGAAGTTACAGTTTCACTGTGTTGTTCAGCAAGCAGTGACATTAGATTAGGCTATTTTCCATTTTGGAAAAGTGAAAGGAAAATGGAGACTTTCTGGCGTCTCGTTCAGGAACTGGAATATTATCTCTAATCCAGATTGAGCTGATTTTGGAGATGCAGCTCCATACGTGACAAAACAGAAGATGAAGTGATATTTTAGACATTCTGGTTACTGGGACACAGCCAACTGGTCAGCCTGGCAGTCACAGTTCCGTATGTCGGCGGAAGAGACAACAGTGATTGGTCGAACGAGTTCATGTTGCCTGCAAAATCTTGCAAAAATTGCACACAGGGCGAATAAAATGTTGCTTATTCACTGTCCAAAAAAACACGTTCAGTGTGCAAGAAGTGTTCAGTTATACACACGTACAATCTACGCTGAATAAATTGCACAAAAAAAATGTGCTCGGTGTGTAAAGGCAGCTGCAGAGCACTCGTATTTGCCCTGCTTGCTCATCAGCAAGAGATAAAGGGGGATTCTGATGTGTTTCACTGGACTTTGTGCACTTGTTGGAACGTTCTCAAATCAAACAAAGGCAAACAAAGAGGAAGAGAGTGCATTTGAGGATGGGTGGGACTCAGCGAGGTCGTTTCTATGGAATTCTGCTGAACTTTTGTCAGAGCACCCTTGATAACCTGTCACTGTTTCACTCTGAGCTGGAACGGCCTGTGAAGAAGCTACGTCAGAATGATCAGACTAACTGGAAAGAGCGTGAGAGTCAGAGTTAGAGCCATACCTGCTACTTCTTCTGTTTTCCGCTTGTCCTGGGCCTCTGCTGAAGTCTTCTCCTCTTGTGCTTCTACTGCAGGCGTTATCAAGCTTTGACTACTGTAAGAAATTCAGGTATTTGTAAAGCAACGTTTCAGCCAACAGTCAAAATTACACAATTTTCCCCCCGTAGCCCAAAGGTAGCGGATCAGCTGAGGCATATTTGGTGGCTGAAGTTCACCTCATTAGTTTTACACTGAAGATGCCAGGCTAAGGTAGTTTTGTTTAGCATTTTAGCTTCGTCCAAAGCTTGGCTTGGCTTAATGTACTAAAACAATAACCCAGGAGCAAAAATTCTCTCTAATATTATTGGTCATGAGTGCTCACAACTGCCAAATGGATGAACCTGTAATCTAAAAATAAAGGCATAATATTTACGGCAAGCTTTTTCTCTCCATAAGAGCCCATTATAAAGAAAAAACTTAGCGTTGCTTAATGTACTAAAACAACTGCCTAGGAACACCAAATTTCTCTCACATATTACTAGTAATGAGTTCTCTTTACTGCCAACAACACAAACCTGTAAAAAAATATAATTTTTGAGTTAAGCTTTTTATTCTCCATAAAACCCATTATAAAGAAAAAACTTAGTACGGCTTAATGTACTAAAACAACAACCCAGGGACACCAAACTTTTCTTACATGTTACTGGTTATGAGTACTCACTACTGCCAAATGGATAAACCTGTAATTTAAAAATAAAGTCAGAATTTTTACATCAAGCTTTTTACTCTCCATAGAAACCTGTAAAGGCTTGATGTGGCTTAATATACTAGAACAACAAGTTAGGAACACCAAATATTCTTATATATTCCTGGTCATTAATATTCTGCACTACCAAATTGATGAACCAGTAATTTAAAAATAAAGTAATAATAATTTTTATAAAGGAAAAAAGCTTATGGAACCACAGATTTCTTTATTCTTGTTTTTAGGTTCATCTATTTTGGTAGTAGAGAGTATTCAGAGAGTTTGATGTTTCTGTTTCCAGGTCGTCGTTTTAGTACATTAAGCCACGTTAAGCTTTTTCTTCATAATGGGTTCCTATGTCTCCCAAACCTGTACCTAAATCATCATGCACTTGCCTCAAACCACATCAAGTCATTTCAAATATTTCCTAAATTTAATCGCGCGACACTGAACATGGCATGAAGGTATTTCACTTAAATGTTATGACAGTTTGCTGCTTTTATTATTTACTTTTTATTATTTACTTTTATTTTAGCTATGTACTTTTTCTAAACATTATGCTTTTATCACTGTCTTAAATTTACCTTTGCAGCACCTTGAGATTTTCACCTAAATGAAAAGTGCAATAAATAAAATACATCATTATTTATTCATTACTTTTGATTTTTGGTTGAGCCAAAATCTCACAAAATGAGTAGATGATAATGACAACATCAACTTGGCAAACAATGTCAGACAGGTGTAGGTGTATGGCTATTCAGTTGAGTTTAGAGGTAAACCAATCGATTCTATAGAGCAAGGTCAGAGAACTGCATCTCGCCAATGTCTAGAACTGAAACTAAACTGAAATCAACCTTGAAAAAGGATAAATGTGGAGGAAGTGTGAATAAACCATACCTTTGTTCTAGTGCTGATGCAGGCGTGACTGTGGCTGACTGCGTCGAGAGAGACTCTCCTAAAGCGCTGAAGCATTCTGACACTGCAGGCAACAGAAACAAAACAAAATTAACATCAACGGTGGCAACACCTCTGCAAGCAGGCAGCTGGCCGCTTCAGCTCGCTAACTCTAAGGAAACAGGACAAATCTGCTCTTAAACGAACAGTTTGGTGAAAAACTAAACTTCCCTTAATCCCAAATACAGTCAAACTAGCCAAGACATCTGTAGTATCCGAATATTGCCTCTTTAGTTATGACATTTGTAGGTCATGACAAATGCTTGTCTATTAAAATGGACATAAAGACAAAAGACAGGCTTCAAGATGGAAAATTCTAACAATGTAACATACTTTTCTCTATTTTTATAGATAGTAGTATGTCATACAATGTCAGAATACACCAGCATATTCTGGACTTTTTTAAAATTCAAATGCAAACTTGAAAATGCTAATTAAATTGTGTATTTACAATTGCATTTTTCATTGGAGTGCATTATTTAAGATATAATTCAAATCCAAATGCAAAATGTGTATACGTTTTGCTTTTCTGTGTATAATGGCTGGAAATTTAATAGGTAATATGGAAAATGCATGCTCCCTGACATTTAATTACATTATCTTACTGGTCTGACTCTGATATATAAAAAACGGAATAACGATCACCCATTTGCAATTGCATTTCCTCATGGTCACGCTCCAGCTCTGCCAAAAACAAAATGTATTTCACTGTTGTCGGAAGAAAACCTTGTATCTCCAAAATGGTAACTTTACAGGAGAAGAAAAAACCTACTTTATTTTTAATGTAAGTCAATGGAACCAGACTTTTTTAACAAGTCATTTTGGGCTGTTTCTTTTGGTCCGATCATCATGAAATTTACACAGGACCCTGTCTCATTAAACACACCTGATTCCGCTCATCACCTTAGTTAGGCCTTCATAAACTGAATTCTTAGTGTTAGATGAAGGTAAACGCTAATCTCCACAGCATTTTGGCCTGGAAGGTCCCCAGTTTGACATGTCTGCCTTACAGCATCTCAAGTTTGTTGCTTTATTCTGCTAGTTAGCAAGCTAAGGCCTGCTTGAATAGCAACAACACCACACTGGCCCTTTGAGGATAAGGCTGGGTGGCCCTGGCATAATCCATCCTTAGCCGGAGCTGTGAATCTGTCAGTGGCAGCATGTTCAATCACGATGACTCAGAAAAGCAGTCATAACAAATATGGTCCAGATAAAATGACTCAAAAGGTGACAGAAATCAGTGTGCTTTTTCCAGTTCCTGTTATGATGAGCATGTGTGAAGGTCTCATTAGTGAGTAATGGTAAAATTAGGGATGTGCTGAAATTATAGCCACTGAAAATTTTTAGCTGAATATGGTTGAAAGTGGCACTTTCAGTTTTTTTATGATGAAAGAGGAGAAAAAGATGAAACTTTTGGATTTAACAGGTCTATAATGACGTGTCATTTGAGAAATCATTTAAATGGTAATAATATTAAATGATTAATAATCATTAAAAATGCTGTTTGTTTTCTTCGTTCTCCTGCAGCAGATCAGCAACAGTGAAACTCAAACACTGCAGCTACGCTCTGTACAGTCTATAACTTGCATGCTTTTAGCATTAACTTGCACTTTACTTTTTATAAATTCTTTAATGGAAATCTCAAAAATAATGTAACTCAATATATTTTTCCCTCGGGTTAAAAAAAGTTTTGAAAGTTGTTACTGTAAACATGTGAGTTTGTTAGATCCTGCTGAGGTTTATGACTGTTTCTTCTCTAACAGATGGACATTTTGGTGTAAATGGCGCCCTCTGCTGGAGAAACATCAGCCTGCTAGATAAGAGTTCCACATCTACATGCTTTATATATATAAAAACGTGATGTTTTCTGTGGTTACAGCAAAGGCTCTCTGGACTATAGCTTTATATGCCTTTTATTTTTTTCAGAATTTATACCTTTTAATATTTAATATTAAATTATTAAAATTCTAAGTAGCCCTTTAGTTCCCAGTCACTGTGATTATTTCTTTTAAAGCATTGTTAGTATTTAATTATAATTCAAAAGCGATAAATGCAAATTATATAAGAAAGAACACTTTCTTTCAGTTTTCCGGTTCTGTTTTCACCCGAGTTTGTCATGAATAAGGGTTTCTGCCAAGATTTTTTATTTTTGTGCATCAGATGAATTAGCTACCTACCTACAAAAAAAATTAGAACATGGACGCTCTATAAACATTAGCACTGACATGACGGTACTAAATCATTATCATACTCATTATCAGGGTTAGAGTTAGGTTAGCTTTGAATTTTTTTTTTTTTGGTGGAGTTTCTAACAAAGTGGCCAGTGAGTGGACATGCAAGGTAAGTGTAACCTCACTTTGGGCTTTGCTAACTAACTGACAAATCCTGTTTTGTGAAACACCCCAAAAAGGTTCCTGAGGAAGTTCTTACCTGGGTCGCTGACTTTGCCGCTGCCATTCTGTCTCTGTAAAAAGTCTCTGTAGCAGACAGAGCACATGCCATTGGTTCGGGGGTTGCCATAGAAGCCACAGCCCATGGCACACAGCAGAGGCGCCTGAGTTTGCTTGGTCTCCTGAGCCATGTTCTTCCTGTGATTAAGCCAAAGAGAGAGAACAATGTCCAGCTGAACAATTCTCACTTCAAAATGAGGGAAACAAATGGCTAATACTGAAAGATGGGAAGTAATGAATCAAGCACACCACAAGAAGGCAAACAAGTGTAACTAGAAATATAATAGAGAAAGCACTCTTCAGTCTGTTACCAGAAGAAAACGCTGACAAAGAGATGTGAAAAGAATGAGATAAATTACAAAGTAAACTCTATTTTCTCATTATTACTACTTATTATCATATTATTAGTAAGTTCCAAAATTCCATAATTTGCATTGTATGTTAAGGCCTCAGGGAATATCTTTCTCTCCTGCTATTAATTAATTTTTATAGTCCTTTTTAATACCTCTCTCTATCCCTTAGAATTAAAGGACCAATCCCATTTCACCCCTCACCCATACCACTTAGCCCTTAGCCCTCCGTTTTGCATGTTCACATCTAGGGGTAGTGTGTCCTGAGATAGAGGGATGGGGCAAAGTGTTAGGGCTACATGGCCCTGAGGTTTTTCAGAGGCACACTCCAAACAGAGTGTTATGAGAAAAAAGAAAAACCGGCAAGATGGCTGCACAAGCAACCAAAGAAACCCACAAATGTGAGTAGTCTACGTTAAAAATTACGACAACCAGCGTATTATACTAGTTTAATGTCGTTTCAGTGTATTATGGTCCTTTTCTTAGAAGCTAGCTGCTAAAGTTCCCATTCCACATTAAATAGTCCAGCAGTACCAACACCTGAAGTGCCAGAATGTAACTGCTGCACCATTTAAGGTGGAACACGTAAATTCGAATGAGAAGCTGGCGAATAGCTGACTTCAGCTTCATATAACTGAAGAATTAGAGGTGGGTGATAATAAATAATTGTGCCCCCTCTTTGAAGGCATATGGTTTCCTAAATGTAAGTAAAGTCCAGCAGCGAGGTTGCTGAACTTTACCCTCCTCTGCTGTCACTGCAGACTGGCAGGGTCGCATACAGAGCAGCGCTAGTAGCTGTTAATGAAGTAATGTTCTTTTTTTATTTGAGGGTCCCGTTTCGTAGATTTCAACCTCTACCCCTTGTAACTCAGTTCCAAGAGGTAAGGTGACACGAAAAACAAGGGGTAGGGGTAAAAATAAGCAATAGGATTGGGCCAAAAAGGCTGTTTTTATTAAAGATTGAAATGAACAAGCTCTGACTGGCTGCCCTGTATTGTGTCTCTTTAAAAAACAACTGAAACACTCTTTATAACTCAAACAGCTGTAGGCTGAATAGGTGTTTATATGTAAATGCGTTGCACTTGTGATAACACAAAAAACAGTGGATTCAAATCGGGCTGTTTTTCATTTTCAGCTTAATGGACAGGGGAGTAAGCACTATGTTTTGAAATAATGTTTACATATTATATCAAACTCATTTATTTATAAAAAATCTGTTTCCATGATATGTGTCCTTTAATGTTGCTGGTTAGCTAAATTAATGTCATAGCCTACACCATTAACTACTTTTGAAGTTACTCTAAGGCAGCGGTTCTCAGTCTTTTTCATCTCAAGGCCCACCCATTGGTCACCGGAAAGCATAAAGGCCCACAGGGGGTTAAACTTTTTTGCTCAAACAATGCTCTTTTATTTCTGGCCTGACACAAAAACCTTGAGAATTATGACCAGAACAATACCTGTTTGAATGCAATGGGCATATTAGAGATTTTCCATTTCTTTCTTGAGAAATAGACATAAAGTGCCATCACAGACCCACTAAGGACCACTGGCTCTCCATTAGTGCAGGTCCAAAGACCCCAGAGGGTGTTTCGCTTGTGTTACGCAGCCCAGTAGTTGAGAAACCCTGCTCTAAGGGGTTTGCTGATGACAAACATGAATAAAACATGCACAATTTCCAAAAATGCACCTTTTCATCATGATGTATTGGCTACACGTAGCTTTATTGTATTATAAATAAATAAATAAATAAATATATAAATACCCTAGGTGTTACCTTTTATCCCCATACAAAATAAGTACCACCTGAAATGAATACCCCCTGTAAATTTAGGTATTTTGGTAAACATTACAACTGATTTTTGTTCTGTAAAGCTTGCCCACCTCTCAACAGGACATATAAAAATGGAGGTCAGCTCCCTGAAGCCTGACATAGTAAGAAAATGATGGAACTGTAGAGCCTCACATTTTAGACTTACTAAGAGCTCTGAACAACACTCAACTCTTCTTCCTTTGTCATGTTTCTGCTCTATCTGCCTGACTCTCTGTCTCTTTCTCTGCTCACTGCTGGATGACTGTGCTCTCTCCTCTGCTGCTTTCAAACAGGACAGTATACTAGTGCTGCCTTTGGATGTAAGATTGGATAAAAAGTTAACAGCTGCGATTAACTTAAACAATGACAGAAGACTCTGATATCACATATATGGCACATATCAGTCTTAAATACAATCAGGTTTCCAATAGCATCACGTCATAGAAAATGATACAAAGCATTACACCCACCTAACTCATAGCCTCATAGTGCTTAAAAGAGTAGCCCAAAAATCCCAGAGAGGGTAACATTTAATGAAATGTACTGTGGACTAAATCTCACTATGCAAAATGGTTCTAGCTGCCATTCATTATCAGTAACATTAACATTTTTGGAGTGATATTCTATTATGGGAATCAGAATGTAAGACATGACTCAGTAGCCATGTTTACATGCAGCCTAATAATCCGTTAATAATCCAACTAATAGCTCAATCGGAATAGAATACGTCCATGTATGCACCTCAATCGGAAAAAAATTGTCCGATTGAGGCCATTCGGAACACAATTTCTATTCGATTGAACGAGGTGGGTAATCCTGTAAATAATCTGTTAAATAGAAGAATAATAACCGTGTAAATGCCTGTATCTGATTACGTTCCCAATCGGAAAGTTTAAGTACGCTCTGCGCGTGTGCCTCACTTCACAGTGAAAGTTCACAACGTTCAACATGCGGGAGCAGAAACTGGTCTGCAGAGGGGACAAAGTTTATGCTCTGATCTTTAAAAGACGGCGGTGGAACGGGCGTCCAGCTTATGGGTCTCAGAACACGACGTCTTCCTCTCGCCCTTCTTTAATAAGCACATGTGAAGTACGATTTCCTGAGTCTGACATCATTTTAAAGCAATTAAAAACACAAGCGCTGCTCACTGCTGCTCGTCTCACTCTGACTGGACTTGTGTGGTGTTGTCATGGTAACGTGTTCACTAAGTGGTTCTATACACATGCGCGTGATTTAGGATCGAATTACTTGTGCTTGTAAAAAGAGATCGGACTGTTGAGTGGAGTGCATACAAACACCTCAGTCTTAATCTATAATTGGAATGTATTCAATAGGTGTGGCATCTTTAACAAAGACGTTAGGAGATTCTTAATGTATCTATCCATTCATTAAAGTATGTCCAAAGTACATTCTAAGGCTTATTATTCAGTACATGCAAACTAGCCTGTTGTAAGTTATTGTTAGGAGTTCACAGTGCATTTTTCTGAATGCTGCTTCTGGCAGCGTGTCTTCCTGTTGCTAAGCAAAAGTAGCATCCTACCTGTCAATCAGCTGTGCTAGCTGGCTGTCGTTTTGACATTTACAGGCAGAAAAGGTCGGTCACGTCCTTTCTAGGAAATGATCTACTATTATCTAGCAAGTCAGAATCAAATCAAATTACTTTTATTATCATGTCACGTTCACACTAGTGTGAAGGCAAGTAAAAATCTTGCTTGGTCCCTTATTTAGGGCAGTTTTAGTTACTTAAATATATAGGAAATGAATATACAACAAGTACACATTACCATACACACTATATCCACTATCCTATCACAAAATATGCAGATATAAAAGATACTTGGGTATCACTGGGTATGAAAAATGATGATATTGTGACTACAAAGTGTACAAAATATAAAACATTTTGATAGTATATTGCAAAACATACATGACAAATATTTAAGCCTCCTTTCACCCTGTTCTTCAATGGTCAGGACCACCACAAGACCACCACAGAGCAGTGGTGTATTATTTGTTAGGTGGGTCATTCTCAGCACTGCAGTGATGCTGACATGGTGGTGGCGTGTTAGTGTGTGTTGTGCTGGTGCGAGTGGATGAGACACAGCAGTGCTGCTGCAGTTTTTAAACACCTCAGTGTCGCAGCTGAACTGAGAACCAAAAATATTCAACCAACAGTCAATGCCCTGTGACCACTGATGAAGGACTAGAGGACGACCAACACAAACTGTGCAGCAGCAGATAAGCTACCATCTCTGACTTCACATATACAAGGTGGACTGACAAGGTAGGAGTGTCTAATAGAGTGGACAATGAGTGGACACAGTGTTTAAAAAACTCCAGCAGCACCGCTGTGACTAATTCACACACCACCATGTCCAAGAATGACCCACCACCCAAATAACACCTGCTCTGTGGTGGTCCTGTGGGAGTTCTGACCACTGAAGAACAGGGAAACAAAGTATGCAGAGAAACAGATGGACTACAGTCTGTAATTGTAGAACTACAAGGTGCTCCTATATGGTCAGTAGAGCTGATAACATGGACATTGAATGTAGATACAAGAAGGTGCACTTAATGAAGTGAACAGTCTGTGTACATCGTAAACTTTAATGTAATGTAATGTCCAGTACAGACAGCCTGTCTGATATACGTGACCCTGAGTAGGCACTATATCATACATGATGCACAGTACAGAGGAGAGTGGGTGACCGTCTGTAGAGGGTGTGCAGTCCGCAGTGAGCTGTTGTCTTACAGTAGAATGAGTGCAGATGGTTAAGTGTGCCCCCCCGGATCAATGTTATGCAAGGTTAGTAGTTTTTTGTTTTGGCAGTTTTCTGATTCACAAACGTGAGTTTCTCAAAACTAACTTTTCTATTACCAGTTGGCTTAACTAGGTAACGTGAATAGATGTTTAAACAGCTGCCTGCCACCATTTATTCCTTGTAAGCCGGCTGCTATTGTGATTTACATAACTAGATTATTGATTTTCTCCTCCCTCAACGCCCCCTAATTTTACACAGAGCTCAGATTCCTTTGGGATCCAGTGGATGAAAGGGAGACCACCAGGAACATGAACAAACAAAGTAAAAAAAAAACATCAAATTTAATTCCAAACTGACTTTAAGAACAACAGCGAGTCATGGCAGGTTTCTCAACGAAAACCAGAAGCTACTTGAAAATAAGGGACTTCTTCAAGCCTAAAGACTGCAGCAGGAGAAGGAAGAACCCATTTTTCCTTCCTTTTCCTTCTTAAAGCGTGTTGTGCTGTGAAGGTTCCTATTTCTGCATTAAGATGATAGAACATTTTCCTGTCCAAATTTAAAGGTGAAGTATGAGGGAGCAAGATTAAAGAACCATCTTTAGTCTCCATTCCTGAGTCAGTGCTGCTTTACAAGCTGAAAATGCTCCCACAAGAAGATTACACCGTAATACAGAATCAGCAAAACTCAGATTTTTTCCACAAATGTGGCTCTTATGGACTCAGTTAGGCCAGCATGTGGTGGGTATAATCTTGCTAAAGCACAAAGGCTTTCAGGCCTCCTATTTTAGACTCACTGTGGTTACACAGTGATGTATTAACACTGGCGATTGTGATCACAGACTGCTGGTGTAATCAAATTAGCACTTTAGCATTGCAGTGTCTACTTACAAATGAGCTGTATGTGTTTGTAATGGAAATGAAACGTGAAGCTTAGAAAGACCCCTGTACGGCCAAAAGCATTAGAGAGGGCAGGTACTGATGTTGGATGGTCAGTTCTGGATCACTCCAACTCATCCCAAAGGTACTGGATCGAACTCAATCACTCCAGAGAACATAGTTCCACTGCTCCACAGCCCAAAGCTGGGGGGGCTCTGCACCCCTCTAGCCCATGGTGACTTTAGGCTTATATGCAGCTTCTCCAGAGTGTCCCATTGTTTTGGTCAGTACTTTTCTATGGATATTATACAAGCTGTATCAGCAATGGGTGCCCCTTAAAGGAGAATTAGACAGATTTTTTAAAGGTTTCTGTACATTTAAATGATTAAATTGGAAAACAACCTAATGTTTGGTTTGATGTGAAATGCTCTGTTTTACAAAAAGTAAGGTGCATGCAGTGTGTTCTAAGCCAAACACGTCCCCAAATAATACTTGCATTTTCAGAATTAACATTATTTTACCATCATGAACATTATATATAAGACGTCCAAAAGCATGTAGGTTCACTGGTTGTTGTGGATAGTAAATAAAATGGTTATGAAGACCCCTGGTTCCTATTACTACCACTGCAATGAAATTAATCAACCATTTCAAATAAAACCACTCTGAATGACTTTGTTTACAGTGCAGCAATGGAATAATGCAGAAAGGAAAAGAAAATAATTCTGTTCTGTTACTTTGATGTATGTCTACTTCAAACATATTGATGGGACTGTGGTAGGGGGCCCAAGAGTAAACCCAGGGGCCAGAAATGCAAGAAAGGAAGACTTTGTTTACATCGCAGCAATGGAATAATGCAGACATTTTGATAAATTGCTGTACTTTCCTTTTAAAGTAGGTGAATTCACTAATTAGAAGGGTATACTTTTGGACACAGAGTATGTATCCCTCTATCTAACCACACAAAAGCCACTAATCACTCCCTCACAGCATGCAAACTGTCCAACAATATAAATTCAAGAAAAATGACATGTAAAAATGATCTCCCAGTCCAGAAACAGTTCAAAAGTTCAAATAAAACACGCAGCTTGTCACAAACTAACATGCTACAACCTGAAGATCAAGTCTTATCAGCACAAAAGAGCAGCTCGGTCAATGTTTAAGCCAAACTGCAGTGTCTAAACCAGTCAGGCTGCCATCTAATGGTACTGTCATTTATCAAAACAAGACATAAAAAAGATTTAAAGTGAACTGATACTCACCAACATACATAAACATTCACATAGACTTGCCCGGCTGTACGCTAGGTGAGTGAATGTAGTAGAACTTCTGCCATTCACTCTCGCTCACATGGGCTGCCCTGTGATGAGCTTAGAAAAACCCCATGTGCTGGCACTAGCAGCAAGCATGCTGCTCGAGAGGCTTGACAGAAACTGTGCGTCTAAGCAGGGGGATTACAGAGCTCTCCATGGCTTTGGGAGGAACACAACAAGCTCTTGAACTAGAGCTTCAGCCACAGAGACTGAGAAGAGCCAAGAGTTTCCAGCACCCCAGCAGCTCCAGTGAAAAATAGCTAGCCTCGGTAACTAATCCTCAGGAGCTGCTCGCCAAACATGCGAGTTTCAGCTTCAGTGCTGGCGTCTACTTCATTAGTTTGGCCAATCTCTTTTTAATTTCATACTTCGCCATGACTTCAGCGTGGTCCTGGATATTAGGGCTGGCAATTCTGTTAGTATTCACACAATTTACCAATTATTTTCATAAAAGAATCATATCGCTATTGCAGATCATTCTCAGACCAACGTCTACACCTCTAGGGTTGCACGGAAAGCCAATCTGGTGTTCCGGATTTGAAATAAGCAGAAAAATCTATGAGCAGAAACTTAATCTGAACTTTTTAATTGCCTCCTTTTTCTTTATTCCTCCTATCAGTCAGAGAGGATGTTCAATTCAGTAATCAGATTTTTACAAATTACATTACCCAGGCTCTTATTACCAGATTACCTGAACAATATTAAGAGACAGTGTTTTTTTATTCATTCCATATTTACCATGTTTTTTCCTGCTGCTTCTTTCTTTTTATCTGTGTTTCTGTCTTTCAAAGATTCAAAAAGGATTAACTAGGAAGCTTTTACAAACACTTAAAAGGCTCATATGCTACATTCTTCTTGTATCTTATTCCTTTCACTGAAGTCCACATAATTTTATGTGGTGGATCATTCTCAGCACTGCAGTGACACAGTGATACGTGTTAGTGTGTGTTGTGCTGAAATGAGTGGATCAGACACAGCAGTGCTGCTGGAGTTTTTAAACACTGTGTCCACTCACTGTCCACTCTATTAGACACTCCTACCTTGTCAGTCCACCTTGTAGATGTAAAGTCAGAGACGATCAGCTCATCTGCTGTTGCACAGTTTGTGTTGGTCATCCTCTAGTCCTTCATCAGTGGTCACAGGACGCTGCCCACAGGACGCTGTTGAATATGCTCAGTCCAGCAGTGACACTGAGGTGTTTAAAAACTGCAGCAGCGCTGCTGTGTCTGATCCACTCAGACCAGAGCAACACACACTAACATGCCACCACCACATCAGTGTCACTGCAGTGCTGAGAATGACCCACCACCCAAATAATACCTGCTCTGTGGGGGTCCTGATGATCGAAGAACAGGGTAACAAAGTATGCAGAGAAACAGATGGACTACAGTCTGTGACTGTGGAACTACAAAGTGCTCCTGTATGGTCAGTGGAGCTGATAAAATGGACAATGAGTGTAGAAACAAGGACATGGCTTTAAATGTTATGGCTGATTGGTGTATATATTAGTTCATATGTCAATGTGGTCACCAGTAGTACAGTTATCAGATGTAAACTGACTCGGACATCCAACACTCCAAATAACAGCCTACACAAAGTGCAAAGTGACCTACTGTTTAGACTTCATCTGTTATTTTGTTTTTGACATGTTTCAATATTTTTTTTTTACTTTGTACTACTACTACTACTATTATCATTATTATTATTATTATTATTATTTACATATATTTTACTTTTTTAATTATTAATTTTATTAAATATTTAAATTATTACCTACTTTAAATTTTGGAATGCTTACTAGTTTGCATTTAACTTGTCTTTATTTCTTGGTTTGATATGAAAGGGTAAAACCAAAGTATATATCAATGTTTATTACTCTTCAATACTTGCTACACTGCAAATGAGGGTCACTCTCAATGTACTGTGCAGATTCTACTTTTAATCTGGCCTATTTGCAATAGTGCAAAGCAGCTCAGCTTCAGGCAAGCACAGACAGGCAGCGTTAGCTATTATTGTTACAATATCAATATTTTTCAAAAAATACGATTGTTGTGACAACAACAAGACTGTCTTAGGTGCAGATACTTTTAATTATCTACCTTTGACTACTAAATTGTGCCATCCTACCTCAAAAAGTCCCCAAGATGTCACTTCTAAAATTGTCTTCGAGCCATATAACCTAGTTAGGTTAGCTAGTCATGAGCTAAAATGAACAGCTCCGAATTCGTAACAGACAGTCTATATGGTAACTTAGATCAAAATCAAACACGCCCGCTTAACACCGATTGGCCATTTTCGCAGAAACCACGCCCATCTCCATATCACGATTGGACCAACGCTGCGTCAATCATCTCTTTAAGTTAAGAAGAGTTAATAACGTCAGAAGGAGTTTTAATACAGCTGAAATATGACAACATTTCCAAAGATATGCCCAACAGTTTATTAACTAGCTGTTTTAGGTACTCGAGGCTTAGTTATAATCGTCAAGAACTTTCGGAGCTAGCCAAAATTAGCCCAAATGCCAACTAGAAGTGAATAACAACAGAACTAAGCTCGGTTAAGCTAGCTAGGTTAACTGCTAGCTAACTGTTGTTTATCTCTTTCGTCTACCTGCAGTTTGCCTAGTAAGTCACATATAACCACTTATAATACATACAGCTAAGGTTTTTAGCGAATGTCTGTGAGCCAAAACGTTGTAGCAGGGTTTACTAATCCTGTCTCTGAAGCTGGCTTCCTATTTGCCAGCTTCTTGTTCGAATTTTCCCGTTCCACCTTAAATGGTGCACCACTTACATGTAACCGCGGAACCATTTAAGGTGGAACGGGAAAATTTGAACAAGAAGCTGGCGAATCGTTCTCTCTGAGAGTAACCAAACTGAGCTCACCTCCTCCTCTGGACTTCACCAGCTGTTTCGGGTAAATACGGACGAACTTTTCCTCCCGGCGTCAATAAGTGCGTTAAACCACTCGGTTGCGGGCAACAGCGGAAGATTTACTCCACTAAATAAGACTGTTAGATGCTTACTGAGCGATTATCAGGGCTGGAGGTCGTCTTTCAGCAGCTCCCCCACCCAGAAACTGCCTGTTTGTTACTGCTGTCACCCTCCGTCCCCCCCACTGTAATCTCTGGCGTCATACATGTTCCAACAATGATGTCTTTTTCGCATGTTTACGTCATTCGAGGCTCATTTTTTACATCCTGTACCTTTTAATTTTCACATTTTTTTGTCTGCAGTCTTTGTGGATCAGTGAGAGCTGCCCGAAACGTTTTGTCAGTAAAACTATCCAGGAGTTCTTCTATAGTTTTACAGAAAATAGGAAGTCTTCATGAAGCTGTTTCTGAAACGAAGGCCAGAAACCACTTTCACAAAACGTCTCCAAGCGGTTTAAGTTTAGTGTAAACGTCCCAAAATTCTGCATTACGGCTTTAGACTTCTATAACCAGTCCAAACATTGTCTCATTAAGACTTATAAAGTGCTCTTCCCAGGCCTTTTTATGTACTTTTAAAGGAGAATTCCACCAACCTTTCGAAATTTCTGCATAATTAAATGGTTAAACAAAGTAATTCAGAGTGGTCTGATATGAAATGCTCTGTTCTGGAGAAACTTTCCGAGTCAGAATTGTTCACAGTGGTGGTGATAGTAACCAGACGTCTCAAGAGTTTAACACCTCTAAAAGCTCCCTTACCAAAAGATGTTACACAACATAATTATGAATATGCTGCCTGATGCTTGAGCCATTGATTTATGATACATTTGCACTAACTTCATTTCCTAAGACATGTTTTTAAAATATATATATATATATATATATATATATATATATATATATATATATATATATATATATATGAAGAGGTTCATGCAGGGTGTTGTATGTCAAAATAGTCTTTTATAGATTTCTGGATTAAAGGGCCCATGTTGTACATTTTTCCCAGAGGTCTACTTATCATATTTGCATAGGTTTATGTGACAAATACAATCCTAATTCATTTTTCCTTTTACAATTTTATCTACACTCCCTTTATCCATTATAATAAAAGCTTTTTATGTTTAAAAAGCAGTCCAGTTGGACACACTCCTTATAAATTCAGTTTGAGTTAGGTGGAAATATATAAATGTGACGGTTTGTGTGACATTACAGAGTGAATTCAAAACAGGCTGTTTTAGCACATTTTTTTCCATTTCCATACATGGACTGTATGGACTGCAGAGTGAACAGAATGTTTTGACATGGTGTTTACATACTACATCAACTTTTTTATAAAAAAAAAAGTGAAAATTTTCAGTTTTCCATGACATCCCTTTAAAACTGTTCTAGCATCTGCATTATGGTCAGGGCTAAAGAACAATGAAAGAGCAATGAATTCAAACAAACCCTTTAAAATGATAAGATTTTTGTGACATCACAAAAGCAATTAATTCAAACAAACTCTTTAAATTGACAGAACATTTTGTGACATCACAAAGACAGTGAGTTAAAACAAACTCTTTAAAGTGATGGAATGTTTTGTAACATCATAAAAACAATGAATACAAACAAACTCTTCAAAATGATGGAACATTTTGTGACATCACAAAAACAATGAATTCAGCTTAATTCTTTAAAGTGAAACCTTTTGTGACATCACAAAAACAATTAATTTAAACAAACTTTAAAGTGACATAACACATTTTGACATCACAAAAACAATTAATTTGACCAAACTCTTTAAAGTGAGAATGTTCTCTGACATCACAAAAACATTGAATTCAAACAAACTCTTTCAAGTGACAGTATTTTTGTGACATCACAAAAATAATTCTAACAAACTCTTTAAAGTGATTGAATGTTTTGTGACATCATAAAAACAACAATTCAAACAAACTCTTTAAAGTGATGGAACATTTTGTGGCATCATAAAAACAATTAATTGAAACTTACTCTTTAATGTGACAGAACCTTTTGTGACATCACAAAAACAATGAATTCAATCAAACTTTGAAGTGATAGAACCTTTTGTGACATCATAAAAACAATGAATTTAAACAAACTATTTAAAGTGACAGAATTTTTGTCACATCATAAAAACAATGAATTCAAACGAAGTCTTTAATGTGACAGATTTTTGTGACATCACAAAAACTATTCAAACAAAATCAATTGACAAGTTTTTGCGTAAAGGTCACAAAGTGAATCATTACGGAGCAAATAGTAAGTGATTAAAGGAACATTCCAAGTTGTTTTTAAGCTGGAAGATTACAGTGTAATACTGCAGTCTTTGTGCAAAACTGCTGATTTTCCAAATTTTAGACAAATGTGGCTCTTACAGACTCAGTTAGGCCAGCATGTGGTTAAGTTTAATCTTGCCAAAGCACAAAGGCTTTCAGGCCTTCTATTTTAGGCTCTCTCTGGTTACATGGTGATGTATTAACACTGTAGATTATGAACAGTTCAGTGCTGCTGGTGTATTTAACCCTTCTATTATCTTTGGGGTCGGTTTGACCCCATTTAATGTTTAACCTCTCTAAATAAATGATTGACCATTTGTTCCTTCATATTTAATGACTTTTCTTAATTTAATGGGGGCAACTGGATAAACATAAAATTAATATAATGATGTTTTCAATGTCCTGTACACATTTTTCTACACATCAGCGTTCTTTGGGGTCAGTTTGACCCCAGGCTGTTTTTGCTGTATTAAACACTAGAAACATGATAATTTTACACATATTTATTTTAGCTGTTTTGGATGATATTGAGGTCTCTATAACATGCAATTTTATAATCTTGAAAATGTCCCTCTGCTTTAGGGCCCTAACCTAAAACAACCACACCTGTAGTAGTGCAAGAACCACTGATAGTTCACACCACATGGAGGAAGGAAAACAGAATTCCCACCAGAACTTCCCAGCAGTTTAAATTGCTGAGGTCAAATTGACCCCAAGGATAAAGATGATAGTAAAACTGAGGATAACAGGAGGGTTAAATTTGCGCTTTAGCATAGCAAAACCAGTCACAAGTAAGGTTTTGGGCAGATATGACTTTAAGCATAAGGCTGACTGAGAAATCCTGGTTTTTACATTTTTACACAGTTTTAATTTTCATATTTTGGCTGAAGCTTTAGAGGGTTGGTGAAGCTGCTGACAGTAGCAGGTTACATTATCTAGCAGGTTAGCTGGTATGACCAATGTCCACCTAAAAGCTCATTTTTACCACAGAGAAAAAATATATATCCATTTAGTAAGTCATAACAATGATAAAGTTTCCCAAAATTGATATTCAGTATCTCTTAATTATGACATAGCATCTCACAATATAGACTTGCTGTCTCATAATAATGACCTACTATGTCATAATGGTGACTTATAACCTCATAATTATGACTTGCTAACTTATAATAATGAGATCTCTATGTGGAGAAAGTTTCTTATAATTCCAACTTTGTATCTCATAATTATGACTTGGTATCTCATACTAACAACTTAGTATCTCATAATTATGACTTACTAGATCATAAACATGACTTGCTATCTCATAATTACAACTTAGTATCTTACAGCTATGACTTACTAGATCATAAATATGACTATCATATAGAAGAATACATTCATTTCCTGAACACAGAACACCACTGTTATGGTTTTGAGTGCTAGTACTTCACTGCACCTCATGTACGTTTATGATGTCAGCGAGTGCGAAGCTTCACACAGCCAGTTAGCTGATTAGCTTACCAACCAATCATCCCTCAGCAACACTAATGCCAACCTCACACAGCACTCAGTAGCAGTAATGCTAACCAATCAGCTCTCATTAGCAGTACTGTTAACCAATCAGCATTCAATAACAGTAACGTTAGCATCCTACAGCCCAAAACCTGTTTGTTGTAGAAAAAAAGAAAATATGCAGGTAAGTTTTCTTTGCGTTTTTAGTGAAATACATTTTTCTACTTTCTATAAGGTGCTAGACAAGTGGTTATAAACTATTTTAACTTTTGGGATGAATAGGAAGTGGAACGACACTACAAAATGGCGTCGTTAGTGCGCATCCTTCGGAGTGCCCTAGGTAGCCGTTTTTGGAGCGCAGCCCGGTCCGAACTAACTGAACTCACATGTGTTTGGCAGCTGCGGTGCTGCCATGAGACCGGTCAGTTAATGATTGACCATCTGCTTCGGTTTGGCGTTTATTTGGGCTTGTTTATGGTCATTTTGCCATTCCGTACGGAGCAGTAAGAGCTGTGTTCCAGTCACTTTATAGCGCTTTTTGAACGTTAGCATTAGCTTAACTCACAGCTATGACAGCCTTGCGGGCAGCCAAACAGGCTCTTAGAAAGGAGATAAAGAAGCGAGTGGCCAGTCTGAGCGAAGAAGAGAAAGTTCGCCAGTCACAGGCTGTTTCTCAAAAGGTAAATGCCAGCTGAAGGTTAAGACTACTGAGATGTTGATATGCTCATCCTGTTCTGTTACAGTCCTACAGCTGTTGCATGTATAAGTTAGCTACCACATCTGCCTCTCTGTTGTGCTGTTTTAGGATTTACAGTCTGTCTGTTTGGAGTGAAGTTGCATAGACAAATAAGTGACCACATATGAGGCTGAAACTGGCTTCTAATTCGGCAGCGTCTTGTTCGAATTAACCGGTCCACCTTAAATGGTGCAGCAGTTACATTGGTACATGCAGGCACCCGCAGCCGCACCGTGCAGATTTAAGGTGGAACGGAAAGTGAGGTTATGCAGCCATCTTCAGCTTCGTTGATCAGTCTTATCAGACCAGATTTGTTTGCTAACTGAGTAAACAGAGCAGCCAGCATGCCTTCATGCTGTGCACATCCAAAGGCCATGCTTTATTCACTCTTTACAGAGCTGCTCTCAAATCAGCTCTCAAATATGTGGTAGACACTGTACAGTTTTATTAACAATCTGATTTCTCCTGTCTGTAAATCTACATCAACATAGTTATAAGGAAAGAGAAAAGAAATCAGATGTTAATAAAACTGATTCCACACATCCTTAAAGGGGAATTCCACAGATTTTTTTTCATCATAATTCAGTTAATATGTAAACAAAGCGTGTGAAATGCTCTGTTCTACACACATAAAAATGAAGGTTCTTCAGTAAAGCAAATGGTTCTGTATAGAACCATAAACACTCAAAGAACCCTTTGCATGATTAAAGTGTTCTTTGCATCATTAAATGGTTCTTCTTGAAATTGATGGTTAATGTGCTGTATATGGTTTTATATTGTACCTTTTTGAAAAGGGTTCTGTTGTAACAAGCCTGACATCATAACAGAAGAACACGTTTTGGTGCTATATAGAACCCTTTTCAGAAAGGTTCTATATAGAGCCATATACAGCACATTATCTGTATATTTATTTATACATTATCTGTATTATTAATCATGCAAAGGGTTCTTTGAGTGTTCATGGTTGTGTATAAAGCCATTTTGTTTACTAAACAACCCTTGAAGAACCATCATTTTTAAGAGAGTAGAGAAACTTACAGAGTCAGGATTGTTAACAGTGGTGGTGATAGGAACCAGACGTCCACCTGTAAAAGCTCCCTCACAGAAAGTTATTAAATTAAATGATTATGGTTCCTAGGACATTGTTTTATGATAGTTTTAAGACGGTTTTGGCCTAAAACATATTTTTAAAAATCCATTCATGGTGGACAGATACATGCAGGGTTTTGTGAGACAAAATAGTCCCAGAAGAAGCTTTTTTTCAGATTTTCCACTATTTTGGGATCATCAACACTCAGTATAAAACTCAGAAGACTCACGTAGGTTAACTGGTGGTTTTGAATAGTAATTAAATGGCTATATTTGTGTTGTTGTCATGGCTACCCCTGGTTCCTATCACCACCACTGTAAAGAAATCTGAGTCTCTACAATCAACAATTTCACACCAAACCACTCTGAATGACTCTGTTTACATCTTATTCACTGAACTGTGCAAAATTGGTGGAATTCCCCTTTAAAGAAGTAGTGTGTGTCAGTTATGCGTTTTACCCATCAGTCAATACTGGCCTGTCAATTCGCCAATTCTACTACTTCTACTGCTAATAATAGTAATAGTAATATAGTTTATTTATATGGGTTATTTTTGTGAACGTGACAAACACTGGCACCCAACATAAATGACTAAAGCTTAATATTTTTTTTGTTTTTGGATGTAAGAATGATTGCTGGATGAATAAATAAACATAAACTTGGATGATTTAATTCATTTTAAATAGACTTTTAAAAACTTTTTCTAGTTTAAGTGACCAATTTCTAATTATCGCAACACAGTAAGGTTTGAAGATAAATCTGTAATTAATGTGTTTTTTTCCCATAACATTTTGTATGCATTTGTCAGACTAAGTATTTTAAAACTAATTAATAAAACATATGTATTTGGCAAAATATAGTGTTTTTATATGCAATTTTATCTCATTACTGTCACACATTGACAGCCAGTTAGGTTTTTCTTAATACTTGTTGTAAGTTTTCGTTCACTTCTTTATAGCTTACAAGGAAATCATTAAAGTAAAGACATTTAACAGTTAAAAGTACAACCCCATTTCCAAAAAAGTCAGGATGCTGTGCAAAATGTAAATAAAAACAATTGCAATGATGTGCAAATCATTTAAACCCTATATTTCATTGAAAATAGTACAAAGACAACATATCAAATGTTGAAACTGAGAAATTTTATTGTTTTTTGAAAAATATTTGCGCGTTTTGAATTTGATGCCAACAACACGTTCCAAAAAAGTTGGGACAGGGGGCAACACAAGGTGGTAAAGTCGTGTAATGCTAAAAAAAAAAAAACACCTGGTGGTTGATTGGCAACAGGTCAGTAACATGATTGGGTATAAAAAAGCATCCCAGAGAGGCTGAGCCTTTCAGAAGTAAAGATGAGGAGGGTTCACCACTCTGTGAAAGACAAAATGTATGATGAAATAGTGCAACAATTCAAGAATAACATTTCTCAACAAGAAATAGCTTTTGCTTTTCATCATCTACTGTACATAATATCATTAAAAGATTCAGAGAAACTGGAGAAATCTCTGTATGCAAGGGACAAGGCCAAAAACCAGTATTTGCTAGCCGTGATCTTTGGGCCCTCAGGTGGCACTGCATTAAAAACAGACATTATTCTGTAGTGGAAATCACTGCATGGGCTCAGAAACACTTCCGAAAAACACTGTCTGTGAAAACAGTTCGCCACTGCATTCATTCAAGAAACTGTATATAAACAGGATCCAGAAATGCTGCCACATTCTCTGGGCCTGAGCTCATTTAAAATGGACTGAGGGGAAAAATGTCCTGTGGTCCGACGAATCAACATTTGAAATTCTTTTTGGAAATCATGGACACTGTGTCCTCCGGACTAAAGACCACCCCGCTTGTTATCAGTGCACAGTTCAAAAGCCAGTATTTATGATGGTATATGGGTGCATTAGTGCACATGGTATGGGTGATGTGCACATCTGTGAAGGCACTGTTAATGCTGAATGATACATACATGTTTTGGTAACATATGCTGCCATCCAGACAATGTCTTTTTCAGGGAAGGCCTTGATTATTTCAGCAAGACAGTGTCAAACCACATTCTGCATGTATTACAACAGCATGGCTCCGTATTAAAAGAGTCTGGGTGCTGAACTGACCTGCCTGACGTCCAGACCTGTCACCACTGAAAACATTTGGCACATTATAAAATGAAAAATACAACAAAGGGGACTCAGAACTGTGGCAGCTGAAATCCTGTATTAAGCAAAAATGGGACATAATTCACTTTCGAAACTGCAGCAGTGTCTCCTCAATTCCCAGATGCTTACAGAATGTTGTTGAAAGAAGAGGTGATGAAACACAGTGGTAAACGTCCCAACTTTTTTGGAACGTGTTGTTGGCATCAAATTCAAAAAGGGCATAGATTTTTCAAAAAACATTTCAACATTTGATATGTTGTCTTCCTTTAAATAGAGTTTAAATTATTTGCATATCATTGTTATCATTCTATTTTTATTTACATTCTGCACAGCGTCCCAACTTTTTTGGAAATGGGGTTGTAATACAAACTAATTTTTCTAATGAAAAAAATTCTAAATATCTGCATTGAAAAACAGTTACGCGGACAAATTACGTTAATGAAAATTAGGATTTAAAAAAATGCCGAAAAATGAACTCTTCACACTTTTTGCTGTACCATATAGAGCTCCATTTGACCTACTAAATATTATGCATATTTTTTTGTTTGTGTGGTCTTTATGAAACTCAAATATTTATGATTTTGAGGCATTTTCATGAGATTTACTCATATAGCACTTTTCAAATGCAGTGTTTGAAATTCTAATAAAGGAATAAAGTTTTTACTGCCTTTCTGCAGCTGTTTGAACATCCAAAGTACCGGAGCAGCCAGCGCGTAGCCGTATTTCTGAGCATGTCTGACGAAGTGCGCACCGAGGCCATCGTCCAGCACATGTTCAGCAGTGGAAAAGTGTGTTTCATCCCAAAGTATCTAACCAACAGCAGCCACATGGACATGCTGCAGGTGAACAGCTTGGAGGACATCAGATCGCTGCCTCTGACCAGCTGGAACATCCGCCAGCCGGCTGACAACGACACCCAGCGTGAAGAAGCCCTAGACACAGGTGGGTCACTCAGGAACAACAAATAACGAGTAAATGTGCCGTGTTGTTTATTGGTGCAGTTTTTCTGCCATTACAGGCTTTATCACAGCTCACACAGGGTACCAATAAGCAATATGGGACCTTAAAATCACTGCGTAGACACTGAATTATAATTTTTTTTATGTTCTGTTTTTTGCCAAAAGAGAAACATTTGTTTCAATATTTACCTATGATAAAATGGTATAATATGAAGCTTTATCAGTTTGATGGCACTGAGAGCTATAAATAGTGTTGAGAAGATCTTGTTACATTACTGTCCTGCTTCGGTCATCACTAACAAATTCAAACTAATAGTAATATAACATTGAAAGGACAGATGTTTCAGTAATAATTCAGTTTTTCCTAAACTCTATAGGTTTTTAGCTATGGTTAATCCAAAAGCCCAAATAAAAAGCAAGACGAATCAATGTAATATATACAATGGTACAGAGTACGGAAAAAATCACTTTTGATTTTGGTCCCAGAGAATTTCAGTTTTAACCAAGACTTTTTTTATTTTGGTGCATCACTACTGCCGCCTTCTCATAAAGTGCATTATATAGGAAAATAACATAGTATAAAGTGCACTGTTGGCTCACATTAAGTGAAAGGTTTGCTGAAAAATCTAATTTAGACTGTATTCCCCTTAATGTATTGTTCTCCAGATGTAGTTCATCAGTCATCATATGTTTGATGTTTAGTTTTTTTTTAAGTTCTTAAGTTTTGCACTGGAGCTATATGGCTAATATCATTAAGTCTACAGTCGTTATATACTCTAGTGTAATAGAGTATGTATGTTCTTAGTCTATGTAAAAATATTTTGGGTGACAAAGACTTGCAGTTTCAAATAAAAGAATCAAATTTTAGACATGGGCAATATGACGATACTTTATCATAATACATTTTGTTATTGTGTTAAACAGTGTGCTTTCTTGAGCGTATTGTAGATATTCACTTAATAAGGACCTAAAGGACACTTAACAACTGCATGTTTTCTTTAAACAGAGAGCATAATTAGGCCTGTTTAACTGGATTTAGATTTCAGAGCAGTATGTGAAATGTCGAATAATAATCATTGAGTTTTTGATGGCAGTTTTTAAATGTGGCACTATTAGTGCACTACTACACAAAATATTGTGATCAGTATCATGTATCGTGAAAATAGTATTGTAATCTTATAGTATTGTGATATGATATTTTTGCCATATTGGCCACCTCTACACCAACCGTATCTCTTTTTGTAAACAGCTTTTTCATTTATTCACAAAGAAGAAGATATGATGAATATAATCACAGTTATAAAATATATGTCAATGAGGGATGAAAGATAGGAACAGCACATGTTCCTAATGTGATAGCCCTTCACAGTAGTCATCCAACATCAGTACTTGACGAATGCAATCAAATCCTTACAGCAATGTTCCAACATCTAGTACAAAGCCTTCCCAGAAGAGTAGAGGCTGTTACTGCAGTTAATGGGGCCGAACTTCCTATTAATACCCTTCATTTCTGAAGAAACACTGGATGAGCTAATGTCTACAAACATTTTCTACAGGTACGAAACTGTCACTGGGGTGGTACCTTTAAAGGTACATCTCAGTACCTTCAGTCAGGTAACATAACTGTACCATAATATTGACTGCACACACCCCGTCTCGTCTCCAGGCTTTTTATTTTATTGCTCTGTTTTAAAACATTAGGTTATGAAAAGGTACAAATATGTACTTTTCACCTGGAAAAACATATTTAAGGTGCACAACTGAACCTTAAAACCACTGTTGTACCTGTGAGGGAAAATTTACATTGTTTGTACCTTGATGAACGAAAAATGTACCTGCACAGAACCTTTTATTTTTAACAGTGTATGGAGTGGCTTAGACCACTAGATGGAGCTCTCTTATCACAGTGATTTCAAGCCAAACTGATTCAGAAACTAGAATCATGCACACTTACTTACGTAACACTGTGTTACTTTAAACATGGGCTAGAGTCTGATAATTAACTCTGGATGCTGAGCTTTTTAAAGGACACGTATTCTCTCTCTCTCTCTCTCTCTCTCTCTCTCTCTCTCTCACGCGCGCTCTCTCTCTCTCTCTCCCTCTCTCATTATAAGCGGACATCAGGTTATATATATATATATATATATATATATATATATATATATATATATATATATATATATATATATATATAAAACCTGATGTCCGCTTATAATGTTAGTGTGGGTTTATGTACCATAACAGTCATATTTCATTTTACATGGTAATTTTGTTAATGTTTTATTTACATGTTAATGTTAATTTTTTTTCAACCTTTTTTTCTCTCAGAATCGAACAGGCTGCTTTGGTTTGTGCCTTTAATGCAGATATATGTAATTGAGCTCTGTTCTGATTGGCTGTCCTGTATTCAGAAAGCAGTTTGGGCTGAAACACTCCTAAGGTCAGTGTGAATGAGTGGGGCTAAACTGTAATAGGCTGAATAGGTGGATATATGTAAATGAGGTAGTTTTCATGACATCACAAAAGCAGTTAATTCAAAACGGGCTGTTTCCACACATGGACTGCGACCAGTATGTTTTGAAATGTTTAAGTATGAAGTCTACATACTACATTACAACTTAAAAAAGTGAGAGAAATTCAGGTTTCCTTTGGGCCGTACATTTTTTTTGACATGTTACCATGCAATGGACATGCATTACAGAATGGTGCACTACACTGTTAGAAATAAAGGCTCTTTGCAGATACATTTTTCATTCATCAAGGTACAAACAAGTGGTTTTAAGGTCCAATTATGTACCCTAAATTAGTTTTTCCAGGTGAAAAAGTACATATTTGTATCTTTTCATAACCTAACGTTTTAAAACGGATCAATAAAATAAAAAGCCTGGAGACGAGACGGGGTGTGTGGAGTCAGTACAACTTAGAAAATATAATTTCAATGGATTATGGTACAATTATGTTCCCTGACTAAAGGTACTGAGATGTACCCTTGAGGGTACCACTTCAGTGACAGAAGGGGCACTGCCCCAGTGACAGTTTCCTACATTTTTTTCTGAGGGTGTAGCGTTATTTTATTTGCACTGATGAGTTTCTCCTGAGTGCGTTTGTCCATCTCGTTTAATGAGCGCTGGATGCACCCAGAGGCTGTCCGTGTGCCGGACCATCGCAGTGCTCACCCACATGCTTCTCTCTTCGCTCCTTTTGGTTCGTGAGGTAGTTAAAGCGCGAACAGGCTGCAGAACTCGTGAGCAGCACCTGCGTCTCGCTCTAATCCTAATCCTTTCTCTTTCAGCGTGAGATTTTTAAAAACCCCTGCCAGGCCTCTAATGTGCCTTTAATTCCACATGGTCTGCTTGTCCACTTCAGTCATATGATAACAAGTCTAGCAGATCCAGACATTATTTACCCCCTAACAGTATTTCAGTTATACAACCATGAATTACATTGGATGTACCTACAAGGAGGCATTATTGAGGTCATTTTCAGGGCTTAAAGGAAAATTCCACCAAAATTTTGTGTGTACTCTAATTTTTATACAATTTTTATATAACTTTTTTGTGCAATACAAATAAGCCCTTGATGAATATTACAAAAATCTGGAAGCCAGTTGAGCACTTTGGCATTTTTTAGCAGAATATAACAAGACACAGTTTTATTTTGTTTTTGGCTTTTGCTTTCAGTTCAGTTACATTTAACATTTTACATTAAAGAGGAAATCTGAGATTTTTTTCAAAATTTCTATAAAATTCAGTTTTTCAGAAGTCATTCAGAGTGATATGATGTGAAATAGTTAATTGCGGAGAAACTTGCAGACTCAGACTTCTTTACAGTGGTGGTGATGGGAACCAGGGGTCACCATGACTACAACACAAATATAGCCATTTTATTTACTATCCAAAACTACCAGTGAACCCGCACGTGTCTTCTGAGTGTTTATATGTAATATAAATATAATAATCTTGAAAAAAAAAATCACAATTTCTTTGGGGACTCTTTGGAATCCTGCAAGTACTTCTCCGCTATGAATAGCTTTCAAAAATATGTTTTGGGCTAAAAGCTTATTACAGAAGTATTGTATAATAACTTCATATGATAACTTTCTGAGAGGGAGCTTTTAGAGGTGGACGTCTGGTTCCTATCACCACTATGAACAGTTCTGACTAAGTTTCTCTAGAATGGAGCATTTCACATCGAGCCAAAAATCCACTGAATTATACAGAAATTTCGAAAAATCAGTGGAATTCCCCTTTGAAAGTTTCAATTTTGTTTTTATTTAATTTAAGTTTTATTTAAGTTTTAGTTTTTAGTATTCTGATCAGAGCTGTGATAGTTGTGATAATAACTATAAAATTATCCTTGTTAGTGAGATTCATTACAAGTTATTACAGCTATTTTAACAAAACATAGTTCTTCTACACTGTATTTAATTGCAAGAACTTATTAAAGTCTCACAGTCTTGCTAACAACCTCTTCTGAATGCACATCCGCACTCTGCTTCACGCTCTGCTTGCCATTGAGTGACTGAAATCTCTGAAGCCTCATGCCTGGAAAATGTGAAAACTAGATTTTTGTTGTCGTTAATGTTGCAGTGGACATTATAGTTTTGTTTTATTTGATATTTATTTTGGTAATAGTTTTTAAGTTCTGGCCACACCCCATTTCAAAAAGCCCCACCCAAGGTTGTGGCAATACTGGAGCACTACAGAAGCATGGTGGTTGTTGTTTTATTTTGTATTGTATTTACAATAATATTCCAGCAGATAGGAACACAGAGAGCCAGTATGTGGCTAAATAGACCAAGAACAGTCACATCATACATATCATATCATATTCTACACGCAAATTAAAGAGAACCATTGATAAACTTCAGCCAATACATAAATGCTCCTCTGTTTTCTGTTGGCAGCTGAGCAATGTAATACATCACGGTTGATGTTCAGCACTCCTGTTGCCACATATTGTATTTATATTTTGTATTATGTT